CTATGTAGTTGAGGCTGGCCTTGAGCTCAGTAATCCTCCTGCCTGCAGTTTCCTGAGTGCTGGGATTACAGGTGTGTGCCACCATACCTGGACCTTTTTGAATTTTTTGAATGCTACTCATTTTACCAGGTAGCTCTGGCATTAGTAAGCACGTACTAGTTTACTTATTACTAGCATCTTTCACAGAAAATTACAAAATATTTTTTCTGATATGAATTCATAATTTTTTTTGAGGTTTTATATATTCTTTCTTTTTTTATTTTTTAAAGAGAATAAAAAAATTAGAAACGACACAGAATTTCACTGAGCAAGAGGATAGGAATTCAACAGTGGAATGGTCATAATATTCATTTATGTACGTTGTATAGGCCCTTTCTGTCCTCTCTTTAGATCAAGGTTACTCAACCACTGTGACACTTCACATATATATGACCACCACACAGCCGCCATGCAGCAGTTCTGTCCATGGGCTTCCGCTGTGGTAAAGGCCTTTGGAAAGTGACTGATTGGATCCTAAAAATAAAATTGACCATGGTGAAAAAACAAAACAAAGATTCAAAAAACCTCTCCCGTGTTCTTATGTTAAGAAGCTACCCCTGTCTCATTACCAGAAGTAACCACTTTTGTCTCCTGTGGCTTTTTAAAATTAGTACATGTTTTCAGTACATAATGATCATGTTCATGTGGGGGGCCGGTACGTGTGCATTGCACATCCTAATTCTTTTTACTTCACCTTCTCTCTCTCCTCCTCCCTCCCTCTCTTGGTCTCCTTCCTGTTTGTGACCCTTACTGTACCAGATTTCTCTTACCTATTTCTTAAGTGATATAAATGGATTATACAGAACACGCTCTTTCATGCTTGTCTTATGCTGTGTGTTTTTGCTACATGTTGTTTTAAATGTATGTCATTCTTTTTATTACTGATTAAGTATTACATCAAATGAATACATCACATTTATAAGTTCTTTTTTTTGGGCACACAATTGGATTGTTGTAGGGTTTTGATTATTATGAATAATGCTGCTATGAATTCTCCTTCCCCTCTTCATTTTTATTGTAGCACAGAACATTCTAGAATATAAAAGCTGCCATTTAAGCCATTTTTAAGTGTATAACTCATTGGCACTAAATATATTCACAGTGTTGTGTGATTACTGCCATTCACAAAATTTTGTATTACTGCATACAGAAACTCTGTACTTATTAAGGAATAACTCCTCATTTCCTCCTTATCCCAGCATGTGAAAAACTCAGATCTACTTTGTGTCTCAGTGAGTTTGTCTATATTAGATATTTAAGTGAAGTTTTACAATATTTTTGAATATAGCATCTTTGACTTAGCCTAATGTTTCCGAGGGTCGTCCATGTGATAACGTATATCTGAGTTTCATTACTTTTTATGGCTGAGTACTTGTATATGCTTTGCTATGTTATGCATTTTGATTGTGGATATAGTGATAGACATGAACATTTTTAGCCTCATACCACATTTACTTTTTGCAGCAGTCCTGCTAAATTGGCATATTCTAGGTTTTTCTTTTTCTTTTCTGTTTTCAAACATAGTTAACTTTGCAAAAAGACCTTATTCTTACTCTTCTGTAGCTCTTTGCTATACTTATTTACATGTTTCTCCCCAGTAGGTTGGGATACCCTACCTTAATGTACTTAATACGTAGCCATAATGTTAAAGTCCATCATTTATTTACCACTTTCTGAGTTTTAGGCCCCATGGTGGTTCCCTTTTCCTTATTATATTTAATCATCAAACATCTGCAACATGGATATAATATTGTTAAAGCCATTTTATAGCTAAAGAAACTGATGCTTAGATTGTAAATTTTCTAAATAATATTAGATGCGTCTAAATTTTTTGTCTTCCAAACTCACTTTTAATACATTGTAGCATTTTATGGTAGGCTACCTGTTCCTAAAATACATTCATTATATAGACAGTGTTCTGGATTCCTTACTGGTGTTCATGCTAGATCATTGATTCTACATTCTGGGTATACTTTCGCTTTCTTTCAATATACATGTGTTAGTATTGCTGAGGACACAGAGCTATTCATTGATCCTCTTCACTTAGTTGAGCCATTTCTTTTTTCTATAAATGTGTATAATAGTTCTTGCCTAGTGAAAGAGGTACCTGACTTCATTTTCATTCTGTAAGGGAAAGTTAAGTATATGAAATATCTGTTCTCTGACCAGTGAGGCTAACCTATCCTGTCCCGTGGGCAGTCCTCTGTGAATCCAGCTGTACCTACTCTGATATTAAAAATTATGATTATAAGTAATTCCACTGACATTTCAGATTGTCTGCAACTCTACCAGATTTTATTTTTCGTAGTAGAGGAAACATTTAACTATGACATATTTTAGGTCATTATTTGTAGTTTTGGAACTACTAACATAATTTATTGTTAAGAATGAAGATTCAATTCTTATTTTTCTTTGTGAAGAATCAGATACATGCGGTACATGCATAAATATTTGAGCTAATGTATATATAATCTTAAATTTTAGAATCAGTCTGCTGATTCTAGAATCAGCTGTTACCTGTATTCAAGTTTCATATAACTGACGTTTTGATGGATTTTTTTTTGGTTGTTGTTAGTTTTTTTGAGACAGGATCTTAAAAGCCTGTAGTTCAGGCTGGCCTTGAACTCATTATGTAGCCCATGCTGTCCTTGAACCCACAGAGAGCCTCCTGCCTCAACCTCCCAAGTGCTGGGATTATAGGCATGCACCACAATGCCCAGGTAGAATTTTTAAATTTTTTTTGAGACAGCATCTTGCTATGTAGTTCAGGTTGGCCTTAAACTCACTATGTAGCCCAGGCTGGCCTCAAATTCCTGGCAATCCTCCTGCCTCAACCTCCCAAGTGTTGAATTACAAGTGTATACCACCATGCCTGGCTTTAAATTTTATATTTAATTAGACATAGCATTTAAAAAAAACCTTTCAAAGCATTCATTAATTTATCTACTGTGTATGTATGTTCTGGGAGCCATGAGGAAGAAGATAAACAGGCATGTAAGTTTAATTTAGGCAGTGATAACTAAAGTTAAAAACCTCCACATTAAAACAGTGTAAGGCAAAAGTAAGAACCCACAAGAACTATAACCAGGTATCTTTCAGATGTCTGTATTAGTTGCCAAGGGGAAGGGCGCAGATGTACGTGCTGAAGAGGCTCAGAAAAGGAGGCAGTTGCTATATAGGTTGGAAACATATTCTGTGATGACAGTGGGTCATTGATCTAGGGAGGAGTAGATAGATACTAACTATAATTGAAAGCTTTCCACAAGATGGCCATACCTAAACACATAGTAATCTTCATACCTGTAATCCCAGTACTGGGAATGCGAGGCAGGAAGATTATGAGTTCAAGGCCATCCTGGGCTACCTAGTGAGTTCAAGGACAGATAGCCTGAGCTACATAGTGAGATCCTGTCTCAAAAAAAAAGGAAAAGAAAAAAAAGTCATGGAATTGAGGATATCTAAATAAAAATATTTCTGGATAGGGACTAGTAGTAATAAAAAAGGTTGAGAAATACTGGGCTAGGTTGGTTAGGGAAGAGTTTAAATGCAAAATATGTTAGGTCTAGGTGTTGAAGCAGAGGTGGGGGAGTTTAGGTGAGCAAAGCAGGATGTTTTCTGGAGAATATATTTTTTAGGTCAGATTGGGTGTATAACATGCTTCATAATAGCCACAGTATCTTTAAAAAGTGAAGAGGATGAAAATAAAATCTCAGAGGTTTTTTTAAAAATGTTCAAATTCAGAGTGCTGTGGTAAGATTCCTGGTTGCTTTTGCGTGTTCATTTTTACCCACTTAGTTTTCAGATCAAAGGTGGAAAATCATTTTCTTCATGCAGTCATATTACCAGCAGTGTTTATCTAGCTGACTCTGCTTAGATGTAGAATTATAGTTCTCTTGTGCTGTTATTACTCATTGAGTTACAATATTGCAGAATTTTAGAGATGAAGACGACTGTAGAGAGGGTTTAAATTCTCTTTTAGATATAAGTGGTAAAATTGAGGAAGGTTGAGAGACCTGCATAAAAAAAAAATCTACTAGTGTTAGTGGTAGAACCAAGGTCTACTACCTGTATCTCTTGATTTCCTGTTCAATGCCTTTATTACTACATCTGTTTAACTGTTTGTCTAAACTATTGTGAAGAGTGGTCTGGAAGCAAAATCCTAATTTTAGTAATTTAATCCTTAAAATATTACCAGATTGTTACTTTTTGTCTAAGTTTTTGGACAAATTATAGCCTTAGGAATATGGAAGGACAGTAGATTTTGGATGTTTTTTAACTTTGCTGCTTTACTTGCTTTAACCTTGGGTAATTTATTTAACCTCCTTACCTAATGTGCTTATATGTTAAATGAGGATAAGGATATTTACCTAATAAGGTGGCTGTCAGGATTAAGCTAGATGACCTCTGTAAAACTCTTTCCTCTGTGCTTGGAGTTAAAAATGGAGTAGCTGTTAGGTGAACGTGTAGCTGTAGCTCAGTGGTAGAGCACTTGCCTAGCATGTGGAAGGCCATGAGTTCCATCCCAGCACCATCATCTTCCTTTACCTCTAGAACACTTAGCACATTGTATTACAGCTATTTTAAGGTGGGATTCTTGGAGATTTTCCCGCCAGGAATTTCTCAGCTTTACATATTAAAGGGGGGATATCATTTGTGAAAATGATTCATAAAACCAAAAAGAAACGAATAATCTATTCCAGCCATTTGCTATAAAACAGAGAGGGGAAGAAAATAAAACAGACGTAGGGGTACTGTTGTAGTAGAGTGTATCTGCCAGAAGAATTGAGCAGCTGTTGTTCATTTTTAATACTGATAATTCTGTAATCTGACTTTACTTACCAGAGCATTGACGCCTAGTTTTGACCTTGTATTTTTTTTATTCTAATCCTGCAAGGATATGTATGTTGATTGTATCATTTGGCTCTTTCCTGTTTTTGACTATTTCTGTGATTGCCTTGCAGAGCTCTGAGGAACAGGAGTGCAATGATGACACTTCTCAGGAGGATGAAGGGTTTATGGGCATGTCCCCACTCTTACAAGCCCATCATGCTATGGAAAGAATGGAAGAGTTTGTTTGTAAGGTAAGATTCAAGTGTTTTTGTTGTTGTTTTGTTTTGTTTTTTTTCTTTTTTATCATTTCCATGCTACATCTATAGTCCTTTTCAAACAGAAACTATTAAAGAGTGGTGGTGCTTTGGGCTGTGGTTTGCTTTGGGAAAATTTATCACAGGATAAGACAGAAGTAGTCTCATGACTTCAGCCCTGTTCAAGGTATACTACGTTTGTTTGCTTACAGTAGCGTTGATAAAGTTCTGATAAACTTAGAATATCCAATTGGGAAATAAACTTTTCCTTATACGGGTTAAAAGCATAAATGTCTTGTTGATTAGATAAGGCATGTGATTGGGAGTGGTTGATGAGGGAGATATTAAAATGTTGTCTCTAGCTGGGAATGATGGAACAGAGCCGTTGCTTGGGAGGTTGAGACAGAAGGACTGAAATTTTGAGCCCAACCTGGGCAACTTAGCAAGACTCTGTCTCATAATTTAAAAATATAAGTAGAAAAGGCTGGGGATGTGGCAGAATGCCTCTGGATTCAATCCCCAGAACTGTGTGTGTGTGTGTGTGTGTGTGTGTGTGTAGAGTGGGGAATGGGAAGAACCACCCCCTAGTCTCCATGATATATTTTGCTGTTTGACTTGGGTGGTAAACCTGCTGTCCTTTTTAGGATTCTGTGAACAGTCAGACTATTCATGAGATAGAAATTCCCAAATTTTCATGCACACCTAGTATTTTCACTTCAGTTGGTATAGTTTCTCTCTAAGATTTTTCTTTCATTTTCTGATTTCCTGGGATTTATTGTAGAATTTCATTTTCTTTCTAAAGTGCTAACTAGAATTGCTTACTTGCTTAGAGAAAATACGGACACCTGTAAATTCATAGGAACTTGTTTAGTCAGATCAGTAAGAGTTTTTGCAGATAAGATCTCAAATTAGTGTGAATTTTTTTGTATGTGCATATGTATATCAACTTATTTAAAATTTCTGGAAAACACTTGATTATTTAGAGAGAAATTTTTATAGCTTTTTTTATAACATAGCTGTTCTTTTCTTTCTTTCTTTCTTTCTTTTGAGCACATAGCTTTTCATGGGTTTTATGAAACCAAAACTTTTTATGGTTGTAGTTCTACATCCCGAAAACTAAATTTAGATTTCCTTCCATTCACAAAAATGCTGGAAATAACTGAGGCCAGTTGTCTTAGAATATTATGCATTGGACCAGGGATGAAAAGATTATGATTTGAACATAGACACCCTTTCTAAGGCTAAGGGGTGGGGTGATGGTCTAAGAAAGAAAGCATAAACATTGATAGGGTCAAGATAGTTTTCAGCCTCGGAAATCTTAATTAGTGTTTGAAAATTGGTGATAAGAAAGCCAATCAGCTGGGTGTAGTGACACCTATAATCCCAGCAGTTGGCTGAGACAGGAGGATTGCTGCAAATTTGAGGCCGTCCTGGGCTATATAGTGAGTTCAAGGCTGGGCTGCACTACATAGTGAGACCCTGTCTCAAAAAAATAAAAAACAAAAAAGAAAAAAAAATCCAGACAAATAATAGGTTCATTGTAGTGACCCCAGTCTTAGGAGGATTAGCAGATGTGCAGCAGATGACGATGGCCGGACTTTTCAAGGAAACTGTTGGGTAGTGCTCTGGTACTCGATGTTTGGCACTTACTGAGCAAGATAGAAGTTGGTGTCCATTGCCTGTGACTCCTGCTCTCTCCAGCCATAACAGTTTGTTTGGTTCTCTGGTATGCTACCTGTTGCGCCTCCTAGAAGCAATGGCAAGTTCCAGGGTACCACACTGTCTTTGTTTTTCAGAAACAAATTTGGTGTGAAGAAATCTCTTAAAGTTGTATACTTAATGTCTGGACCATTAGGGAAATTTAATATTTATAGATTAATGGGACAGTGTAGCTGATCCAAGTACCTTTTCATTCTCTCTGCACGAGAGTTAAAAATAAAGCGCATAAAGCTTTTAATTTAACAGTTAATGGGAGAATAGAGGTGGTCGTTCACGTGCTACACACTATAATTTACTGCAGAAAAGTACCCTTGCAGCTTTTCTGTGCGAGCAGAATGGAGAAGCATCGTGTTACAGTGTCCTTAGTGTTGCTCCACCTTCCTCTGGCAGTGCAACTGACCTTGCTTGAAAATGGCCGTGTTTATTGCAGGATTTGGTTTCTTGGATTGGAAGCAGATAAACATTTTAAAACGAAGTGTGCCGTGGATGTGCTGTTGTTCCTTCTCTTTTGGAAAAGCTTTTCTTATTGGAAGAGGGGCAATAAAATAATAGGTTAGTCTTTAGAGTTTTCAGTTTGATCTTAGTCACTTTTCAGACTTTGGTTTTTGCTATTTTACCAGCATAGTCAGGCCCATGTGAAAATAAGGATGATAGAGAACAAATTTCGTGCGTGTGTGTGTGCATGTGTGTGTATGTGTGGACAGTGGACTCAGATGTTTTGATTTAGGCAGTATCTTTGTCAAACTTATTTATAAATAAGTCTACGTTGTGATCCTAATCTGTTCCTCCTAGCAGGTAAGAGGATACCTATTTGTGTTGGCATTTGTCTGATAGCATATGATTCCCCACTTGAGAGTGAGGGTACAGTCTCTGCTAAATAAGAAGTATAACTTGAAAACTGAAGTATAACTAGTAAAGTACAACTCCTTGGCCAAGTATTTAGGTCGCTAGAATGTTAGAAACAATGGGGAAATCACACTGACATTTAACACATCTGTGGCTAGTAAGAAACTCAGTCTGTTCTTTTTGGCTGTGAAAAGGGAGCATTTGACTGTTTCGTTGATGTGTAGCACAGTGGCATTTCTGATGCATTTACAGCACAGCAGTTGTACATGGTGAGCTGCTTGGAAATAGAAGGATTGCATTCTCTATTCCTCTTCCTCTTAGAAATACAATTCATCCAGATAAAACAAGCAGCAACGTCTTACAAGGTTCATCTTAGCAATAATGCGATCTTTCTCAAGTTCAAGTTAAATATAAAAACTTAAGTGTATGGTGTATGCATGTGTGCTCTCTCCTCTTTCTCAATATAGTCCTGTGGAAGATGTCACAACAGCTACTTTTCCAAGTGCTAGTGCAGTGCAGTTGGCTCTCTGTATCCATAGGTTTCATATCTTTGGATTCAGGCAGGTATTTGGGAGGGCTGGTGCGCTGACTTGTGCCTGTAGTCCCCGCAGCACTGGAGGCTGAGATTAGGAGGAACACTTGAGCACAAGGGCTTCATTGACTAATCTTGAATTCAAGACTAACCTGGACAGTGTACTAAGACCTGAGACCTCCCACAGTAACAACAAAAAACTAAATATGTAAAGACTTTTTTCCCCTTTTCATTATTTTCATTTCCAAAGCCATACAGTGTAACAGCTGTTTACATAGCATTTATGTTGTATTAGGTATTATATATAATGTGGGGCTGATTTGAAGAAGGGTGAGCATAGGTTATATACAAATATTATGCCATTTTATATAAAAAGACTGGGGCATCTACCGAGTTTGGTATTTGCAGCGGCTCTTGGAACTGCCCACATATGTTCTTTTTTTTTTGGTCTTTTTGTCTTTTTGAGACAGGGTTTCACTAAGTAGTTCAGGCTGGCCTTGAGCTCACTATGTGGCCCAGGCTGGTCTTGAACTAGCAACAACCCTCCTGCCTCAGCCTCCCGAGTGCTGGGATTAGAGGCGTGCTCCACGGTGCCCGGCTTTTTTTTTTTTGTCTTACATCTGCTCTTAATTGGTAGCCCTCCCTTTGGAGACACAGGAGGTGTTACAGAGAGGATCAGATCTTTTACAAATGTCAGTAAGGAGGTAGAAGAACAGAGAACAGAAAGGATGTAGGATGAAAGGAAGGCACAGCTGGCAAATAAGTGGCAATCATTCTGCACCATAGAGAGAAGGGGGAGCCAAGTTTCTATGGCTTAGCTGTGTTGTTTGTCAAAGATACCTGGGGGATAGCGATGCAAGTCTTTTGTCAGTGAGCCCAGATGACTTGTAGTAGATTCTTGTTTATAGGGTAATAGACTAGAAGCACTGTTGAGCCAGCATTAGCTGGGAGGTAGGCCATGTGGCTGGCATTTTCCTTGTACTTTCTAGCTAGCAGAAGCACATCATTTCTAAATTAGGTTGTCATTATGATATCAGCTTTTCTTTTTTTCCTGGTACCAGGAATCGAACTGATGACATTTTGCTTGCCAGGCAGGCGCTGTGCTGTGAGCTAAATCTCCAGCCCCAGATGTCAGCTTTTTGTGCTAAGAGAAATTAAAAAGAAACAGTACAGAGATAGACAGACATACACAGGACGGAATACCAAATCCCTGACTTTTTTCCCTCCTAGAAGTCATTGGGAAGGTACAGTGGGAGAAAAGAAGGAAGGCTGGGGGTGTCACTGACATTCATTCATTTGTTCATTTATTCATTTAATTATTTATAGTTTTTGTGAAACAGGGTCTCACTCTGTTGTTCAGGCTGGCTTCAGATTCACTATGTAGCCCAGGCAGGTCTTGAACGCATGGTGATCCTCCTGCCTTAGCATCCCAAGTGCTGGGATAATAAGCGTGTGCTACCATGCCCAGTTTCTGTCACTTTTAGACAGGAGATAGCTTGGGACGTTAAGATCATGCACCTCGCTTTGTAGCACAGGCTGCCTCTAACTCATGGTAATCCTGAGTGCTGGGAATACAGGTGTGTGCCACTACCTCTGGCCTACTTTATTCTCTTTTATTTTCATGTATTTGAAGATAAAGGCAGACTTGAAAACTACTTTAGGATTTAAGTTTTTCCCCCTTGAATTTCTTTTTTTTTTCCCCTGGTACCAGGAATCGAACTCATGACCTCGCACTCGCCAGGCAGGCGCTGTGCGGCTGAGCCAAGTCCCCAGCCCCCTCCCCCTTGAATTTCTAACGATGACTTTTTTCACTTGTTTACTCTTTGCTTATTCTAGTTTACACTGTGATCTTAGGGATTAACTCATTTATGGAGTCCTTATGCCATTTTATTTGGTCCTCGTAATTTGTTTATTAAATGAAGCACTATCATTTTCATTTTATAAATGAAGAAACTGAGGCTTAGACATTCATAACTGATTAAAGCTCATACAACTTAATGTCAGAGACCCAAGAATTTTCTGACCTCTTTGTCTTTTCTACTTCATATTTGCTGTGTTGGGAAGAGAAGAGAGAGCAAGGGGCAGGGGAGAGTTTGGTAAAGGGTAATAAAAGAGTGAGTCTGCATAGTTCTTTTTCTACCAACATGAGTATTAAATATATAATGGTCACAGGTAATAACAGATTTCTGCTGTGGAAGGATGTAGGAGGGTCGATGTGGATGGGACTTTGGACCCTCACTGTTCTTTTTAGCCACTCTGAAACAAAGCTCTTTTAGGGAATATTCTGTAAATTCGTTTGCTCTTTGCTTTCCCTGAGAAGAGGATGCCCTTTTAAAAGATACGTTTTTATCAGTCTTGTTTTGTAAGAACTTAGAATGGGACATTATACATTTTGAATATTTTTGCTTTCTTAAAATTTAATTATTTTTCCCAGTAAAACAGTGTTGTGAGAGAGTTGTTTGGGGCCAGTGCTGTACGTGAACAACCAAAATCACAAAGGTGCTCAATAACGCCTTCTTCCAGGTCTGGGAAGGTCGATGGCGAGTGATCCCTCACGATGTGCTGCCAGACTGGCTCAAGGATAATGACTTCCTTTTACATGGCCACCGGCCACCTATGCCTTCTTTCCGGGCCTGCTTTAAGAGCATCTTCAGAATACACACAGAAACAGGCAACATCTGGACACATCTCTTAGGTATGTAATATCAGTGGTATAATGAAGTGGTGATCCACAGTATTGTTTTATTATTACTATTATTATTATTATTATTTTCTGCAGACAAGGTCTCACTTGTAGCTCAGGCTGCCTCTAACTCACGGCAGTCCTGAGTGCTTTGAGTAGAGGTGTGTGCCACTACACCTGGCCCACTTTATTCTCTTTTATATTCATGTATTTGAGGATAAAGACAGACTTGAAAACTGCTTTGAGATTTAAAAGTTTTTTCCCCTTGAATTTCTAATGATGACTTTTTTCACTTGTTTACTCTTTGCCTATTATAGTTTGCACTGTGATTTGTTTTTTTTACACTTAGTTAAGTTTTTCTCTCCTAGACCTTTTAGACTGTCCTCAAATCACAGAAAGGAAAAACTGCTATACAAAATGTGGTAGGATATTATAATCAGTGAGAGGAAGATATTATTTAATATAAGCAAGCTGATTTTTTTGAAAGTCATTACTTAGAATATTTACAGTTAAATTTTAGGTTGTCTTGAAATAGAATATGAAGTTAATATTTTTAGTTCTTGATTTTTTTTGTTGGTGTTTTGAGACAGGATCTTGCTGTGTAGTTGAGGCTGGCTTTGAACTCACTATGTAGTTCAGGCTGGCCTTGAACTCTCAGTGATCCCCCTGCGTCAGTGTTGGGATTACAGGTGTGTGCCACCACATCCAGCCATGATTATATATTTAAAAAAAAAGAAAATACAATAGGGGCAAAGAATAGTCTTTTCAATAAATGTTCTTGGGATAGTATCAGTGTGTAGAAGAATGAAATTGTATTCCAGCCTCAAGCCATATACAAAATTTAGCAATGAGCTAAAACTATAAAACTCGTATGAGAAAATATAGATACAAATCTTGGCTTTGGATTAAGCAAGCTTCTTAGAATTGGTACTTAAAGCACAAGCAGTCAAAGAAAAAGATAAATTGGACTTCATCAAAATGAAAAACTGATCTTAAAAAAAATTAAAAACTCGTATATGTCAAAGAACATTATCATGAAAGTGAAATGATAACCCGTAGAGTGGAAGGGAATATTTGCAGATTATTATATTGGTAAGTCTAGTAAAGAACTCTTACAACTCAACAATAAAAATAGCCCATTTTGTCTTATTTCCACAACTTCTCAGTAGACATTTCTTCAGAGATACAAGTGACAAGGAAGCGTATAAAAAGGTGTTTCTTAGTATTTAAGGAAATCTTTTCCCAAATCCGTCCCCAAATATCCTAAATATATCCCCAAATATCCCCAAATACCCAAATAATATAATATCCTTCCCCAAATCAAGTGCTCTGAGAAATGCAATGAGATACTTACCTCGCTCCTGCTAGGATGGCTGTAATCAAAAAGGAAAATAAGTCTTGGTGTGGATGAAGAGAAATTGGAACTCTTTTACATTGCCAGTAAAGGCGTAAAGTGGGGCCACTTCTATGGAAAATAGTTTGACAGTTCCCCAAAATGTTCCACAGAGTTATCAATTAGCATCAGTTCCACAACTAGATATATATCCAAGATAAATAAGTCATGTTCACATAAAAACATGTGCGTAAATGTTATAGCAGCATTATTCATAATAACAAAAAAGTAGAAACAAGCCAGATATCTACCAGTGAATGAAACAATCAAGAAACTGGCACAGCCATACAATGGCCATAAAAAGGGATGAAGTACTGATAGGTATTATAACATGGAACTGTGAAAACATTACCTAAGTGAAAGAAACCGCACACAGAAGGCTGCATGATTGTATAATTCCACGTCTGTGGAATAGGCAAATTGGTGTAGACAAAGTAGAAGAGTGTCTAGGGCTGAGGGGAGAGGAGTGGGTGTGACAATAGGTGCTGGACTTGTGTTTGAGGGTATGATAATGTTTTAGATAGTGGTGATAGTTATGCAAATTTGAGAACCTATTAAGTAGTTTCTAAAAACCTTACTCCATCGAACTTGTATTTTTTTTTTATCACACATTTGATTGCTATTCTTCCAAATTCTTGCCTGCTAGTTTTAGTGAGAACAGAAGAGAATCAAAATCAAGTGAAGTTTGTTGCTTAAGTCAAGAGTAGCTTTTTAATTAATGATAAAGCAATTACTTCGCAAGTGTTTAACTACTGAAATATCTGTGTCAAATGGTGCTTCCTTAAGCAGTAAGAGCTTGGCACCTGACTGTGGAGCACAGTTCAAGGACTGGTGTGACATGGCCTGAATAGGTACTTTGCTGTTCTTCACTCTCGATGTGTTGGGCCAGTGAGGAGACCAGAGAAGCAACACAATGTTCCTTGACAGCTGTTGGTGGAGGAAAACTGTATTTCCTGTCAGGGTTTTAGAAGTGTTGGAACTCATTGCAAAAATAAAAGTGAAAACAAAATGGACCTTTGAAAGTAGCATATATGCCAAAAACTTGGTGAGTGAAATTTTATGCTGGATCTGAGAGGTAGCAGCAGTGTCCAGTGTCTTTTTGGATTCTGCCCCTGGATGAGCTAACTTACATTCTGTATACTCAGTTTGTGAAGCTGAAGTCTGTACCATTACCAACAATATTGGAAGCAAACTAAACTTTTGAATAGGCTTCAGTTATTTGGAAAAATTTTTCTTATGGAACTTTTTTTTTTTCATGGAATGTCGACTTTATTTTTATTAGTGCATGTTTGCCACCCATAATGGTGCCATTCATCATGGGGAACTTGTACTTGTGTCTAATGTATCTGAATTCTTGTTTTTTTCCTCCGTGGAATTTTTGATTCAGGTTTCATCATTGCTATTGAGAAAGATTGAAAAAGTACTCATTGGGGGCTGGGGGTTTAGCTCAGCAGCACAGTGCCTGCCTGGCAAGCGTGAGGTCGTGAGTTCGATTCCCGGTACCGGAAAAGAACCAAACAAACAAACAAACAAAAAGTAATCAATGTATAACTGTTTCTTCAAAAGGATATTTGTCTCCTGAATTCTTTTCCTAGGTTGTGTATTTTTCCTGTGCCTGGGGATCTTTTATATGTTCCGCCCAAATATTTCCTTCGTGGCCCCTCTGCAAGAGAAGGTGGTCTTTGGATTATTTTTCTTGGGAGCCATTCTCTGCCTTTCGTTTTCATGGCTTTTCCACACAGTCTACTGCCACTCAGAAGGAGTCTCCCGGCTCTTCTCTAAGTAAGTATCTGTGTAGTCCATGTGTTGATGGGTGAGTTAGAGCCAGCGGTTTAGGGAAGACTGTCTGGCAGAATTCACACTTCGTGATACCATCTGTTGGGAGCTTTTTTTTTTTAAATTAAAGCAAGCAGCCCAGTTTCCTTTCCGCTGTTGTTGATAACTCATGTCATGGGAGATTAATTAAAATTTATAAGGCAGTAATATTTATCGTTGGACTTTTTCTTTTTTTAAATCTTAGACTGGATTACTCTGGTATTGCTCTTCTGATTATGGGGAGTTTTGTTCCTTGGCTTTATTATTCTTTCTACTGTAACCCACAACCCTGCTTCATTTACTTGATCGTCATCTGTGTGCTGGGCATTGCAGCCATTATCGTCTCCCAGTGGGACATGTTTGCCACCCCTCAATATCGAGGAGTCAGAGCAGGTAAGTGCGCATGGAGTTCTGCGTTGTACTTTCATTTATTCTCCATTTACTAAGTGTCTGCCACTGGGCAAGCATTATGCTATTTATTTGTGATGTGAAGATGAGTAAGTTGTAGTTTCTGTTGTTGAGGCCCTTTTAGCATAGTAGGCAGAGGAGGAGCTGAGTTCACTGGTTGTCTTAAAGCATCCAGTTGGGCTGGGGTGCAGTGGTGAGGGTGTGGGTATGCGGCAGTGCTTACTTTAGGCTGTGTACTATCCCTAAAGTGGCAGCTCTGCAACTGTTGCCAAATAGTGGCTTCACTTGTTTTTTCAGCTTAGTCTATGTTTTATAGTTTTGTGTTTCTTATTTTTGTTTTATTTATATTTTTATTTTAAAATATTTTGTAAGCTACTTAGGTAGGACTTCACCTCATACTAATTGTGTTCTATTAAAGTGCAGTAGGCACCATACATCTTTTCTGACTTAGGGATAAAGGTTTTTTTAAAAATTTAGGATATTTAGGAGATCTTATGGGAAGCTAGGGGCCCCTCAGCACACTGACTGGGGCTTCTTGGAACATGGAGTTAGCAGAGATGTGTCTGTCTTGAACTTAACTGGGATTCTTTATAGCCAGTGCTGTGTTTTCAGTTTTCTGTTTTCAGTTTTCTTTCATTGGGCTGGTGTAAAGCCCAATGCCTCCTGAGATCAAGTAAGCAGTATTACAATTAGTATTTTTCTTAAAAAAAAAGTAATAAAATTCAAGTTCTAGTTCATCTGCAGTTACTAACGCTAGAAGTAACTGCATGTTAATGTCCACTTTTGTAGCGCTCTGCCCTCTTCCCTTTGTTTGAGTGTTCATGTGAGCATATAAACGGTGGGCAGGGGTGGCGGTTGGCAATCCTTCCGTAATTCTGTGGTGTTAAGCCTGCTTGAGCACTTGAGATAAGAATGTCTTTGCTGAGCAGAGCTGAATGTTGTTATTTATATACATCAGAAGAATCAACCACGTTCCTGTGCCTTTGACTTAGAGAATGAAAGGCAAGACCCTTAGCAGCCTTCACTTAGTGTGCAGAGGAAGAGGACAGGACAGGATGGTGGTGCTGTGTCTTTAGAGAGGAGTTGAGGTGGGGGGAAGGTTTTATTTAGGCCAGTTTGGTTCTTGTCTTCTGTGGGCTCAGCATTGTCGTTTTCCTCTTCGTGTAAGGGCTCATTCTGAGTATGGATCCTGTACCTGTGCCTGCATATATTGTTGTATACTGCAACTTATTTGGTAATGCACGGAGCAAGCAACAGGCTCCTGCTCTATTGGAGAAAGCTTGCTAATTGACAGTTTGTGTTACAGGACTCATTCTTAACCTGTGCCTGTCAAAATGTAGGAGCACTTACAGCTGAGACAAGTTACTGCTTGGGTTGGCATTTTAAAGTGGTGTTAGATCTGTGGACTTCAGACGTTTTTGATCATGACATTGTCTATTGGCACTCTAAATGTGTGTGTAAATTCATGTATATATAAATGACAATTTTTACAAAGTGTTACTTTGCCATTCATTTAAGTTTTATTTTATTCTAGTCCTTCACTTTAGTTGATCTTAGAACCTAGGTCAGTGGTGTTGAACCTACGGCACACGTGCCACAGTGGGCTGTTTGTAGCATTGAAAGCTCTAAAAAGTTGGAAGGTTTGTCGGCACTGACCTAGATCATCCCCAGAAAACTGAAAAATACTGCTTCAGGTAATTTTGAAGGCAGTTGGCTATACCAAATGATGCTGACCTCCCCCGCTGTCCAGTACGGGGGATGGAACCCAAGGCCTAGCACATGCTAACTCATACTGTACCACTGAGCAATGCCCCTGCTCCATTTTTATAGGTTTTCTAATTGATTGCTTCCAGAAGCACACACTTCATTTAGTGACAGTTTATTTAGGTGACAAGTTAGGCCATTTTGTCAGAGCATTTAAAATTTTTCAGTGCCCACTTCTAGGTCATAGATTTAGATTACAGTATTATTAGAAATATCTTAGCTTTATTGTATTGCTTGCTTCTCCTAGTTATCTAATCATTTATTACTTTCTTCATCCCAGTAATTGCTGTTGCTTCAAAGAGAAAAATGCATAAGTTTTCTCTGCTTTGTGATCTGTGTAAAAGGCAGCATTTAGGGAAGTTTAAACAAACTTCCAGAGTTGTCCTTGTAAAGCACTAAACATAATTCTAAACCAGTGGTGCTGAACCTGTGGCACACGAGCTGCAGCAGACTGTTTGTATCATTGAAAGCTGTAAAAGGTTCCCCATTGCTGTACCTTTGATTCCGTGCATTTATAAATAGGTCTTTAGAATATTAGCTATTTTGTCTTGTGTGACAGTGTCTCAGAGTTTGAGGAACATTCTTTTTCTTTTTAAAACAAAAAGCTAATGTTGCCTCCTGCTTTGGAATTTTCCATTTACAGAATTAATGGTGTGTAATACTGACTTCTTTCTTCTGTGTTTTTACTTCATTTTCCTCTCATGATGTCTAGGAGTATTTGTGGGCTTGGGCCTGAGTGGAATCATTCCCACCTTGCACTATGTCATTGCGGAGGGCTTCCTGAAGGCTGCCACCATCGGGCAGATTGGCTGGCTGATGCTCATGGCCAGCCTGTATATCACTGGAGCTGCCCTCTATGCTGCCCGGATCCCTGAGCGCTTCTTTCCTGGCAAATGTGACATCTGGGTAAGTGTGGTCAGGGTTGAGTAAGCGTTTGTACTTACCCGTTAGTGGGTTGTGGGCAGACTGGGAAGTGATGTTATCAAAAGTTTCAGACTCCGAATTGAGAGGCTTGCATTGTAGTCCTAACTCTGTCCTTCAGCAGCTGTGTTTTTCTTGGCACTGTGAGCACAGCAGTAGCTCACATTTACTGTGCACTTGGTGCCCAGCGTGCGGACTGCCTCATTAATTCAGTGGCCCTGAAAGTCTGGCTTGTTAATGCTTTCATTCTACATATAAGGAAACTAAAACTTAGTGAGGTTTTGCAGCTTGTCTTCGGCACGTGACCATCCACCACGTAACAGCGACGCTCGGGCTGTGTGTTTGTTTCTGTACTGACCATCCTAAGCATTGCTTGGGTAGATGTCCTTTCAGTCGATTCTTGTATTGAGTAAATTTGATATAACTGTCATTTTTATATTCCTGTAATCTTATAAAAATGAATGAAAAATATGCAAATTTTGGTCATCCTGTATTTAAATAATTGGACTGATAAGTGATTCAGTGGTAGAATTGAAATTGGAGTCAGCCTAGGCCCTCCAGCTCCCAGCATTTGTTGAAAGCATTTGCTCTAGGGTACATCTCCAGCCCTTAAAAACAAATTTTTTTGAGACAGGATCACAAGTTGCTAACTTGTCTAGGCTGAGTTCAAACTTAGTATTTTCCTGCCTCAGCCTTCCAGAGTGCTGGGGTTATAAGTGTGTATCACCATGCCCAGCTGTCAGGCTAGTCATAATATCAGAATGTGTGTGTGCCTGTTTACTACACCATAATAGAAAGCCGTAGTCATTCTTTGTCTCAGTTTCTTCATTTATGAAATGAGGTTGATGGAAAGATACTTGCCAAAGACCTTTTTGGGATGAGATTCCTACCTAAGGTTTTTCAATACCAAAATGTGAATTATAGTGAGAGATTGGGTGTATATGTCTGATTGCAGTAGGAAAGAAAAATACCTGGACTGTTGTTAATAATAAGATGGTAGGAAAGAGAAAAGGGGGAAAATACAAGGGTCTGATATAGATATAAATTTTTTTTTCTTTATGAGATGGAGTCTCACTTTGTAGTTCAGACCAGCCCTTAAACTGACTATATAGCCCAGGCTGACTTAAAATGCATGGTGATCCTCCTGCCTCAGCCTCCCAGGTGCTGGAATTACAGGTGTGCACCACTATGCCTGGCTCATAGACATAAATTATATAACGGAGGGCCCGAAATACTTGTAACCGTGTAGAATTGGAATGTTGTTGATATGAAACCTGACCTTTGAGCAGGGTTATCCCTGCCTGTTATTCCGTTTAGTAGGGAGACTAAGGCAGGAAGAGCACAAGTTCAAGCTTAGCCTGGGCAATTTAGCAAGACCTTTTCCCAAAAATAATTTTTTAAAGGGCTGGGAATAAGTACTGTGGTAGAGTGCCCAGCATGTACAAGGATCTGGGTTGGATACACAGATAGATAGACAGACAGATAGATAGGAAATCTTTTTTTGTTTTGTTTTGTGTTTTTTTTTTTTTGGTTTTTCTCTGGTACCAGGAACCGAACTCACGACCTTGCGCTTGCCAGGCAGGCGCTTTGCCGCTGAGCTAAATCCCCAGCCCCAATAGGAAATCTTAACATCTGTAATCCTATTCTTCAACTATTGCTGATTATTGTAGACGAAACTATTCTCTTTAAAGTTTAGCTCTACGGGAAATGAAGATAATCGTGAATGCAAGCAGTCCTCTAAATTTCAAATTAACCAAGTTATCTTTCTGGGATTGCCTCATCATAATTTTGACATTGATATGGAGGAATTTTTACACCTTCCTTGGGAAAATGAATCCCTTTTGGTTTCCTAGGAACTATCTCTTGGAATGTAACTTTTAGTTTCTTTACACTTCTAAAATCAGTCTTTCCCATGATAAATACTGCTTTGCCGTGGTGTGTTTTTAGTTTGAGACTATTTGAGAGACAAAAGTGCAATTTTGTTTTTGTTTGTTTGTTTGTTTTTGGTTTTTTTCCGGTACCGGGAACCGAACTCACGACCTTGCGCTTGCCAGGCAGGCGCTTTGCCGCTGAGCTAAATCCCCAGCCCCAAAAGTGTAATTTTTGTAGTGGTGATTGATACAGTGAACAATGATTACTTTTCTTGATATGCTAGCATTCAGCTGAACAGATAAAATCAGTAATAAAATCACATGCTTGTAGACCAGCTTCTGGTTTGATAAGGAAAAGGCTCCATTTGCGTGGTCTTTTGATACAGTATGTTTTTCATGTAGTTCCAGAATCTTAATGCTGAAGGAAATTCCAGAGACCATTTGTTGTGTCTGTCCACTTGATCCTGGAAACCCCTTTAGTTTTTCTAACGGAGAGCAGCATTTAAATGGCCCTAGCTCTGGTATTCTTGTCCATTCCAGAAGTGTCTACCAGTAAGCCAGAGCCCCCTGCTGGGTGTCAGAGGCTGTTGAGGAACTTGTGGCCTAACAGCAAAAGGGTTGGTAGGTTGTTTATCCTTGAGTTCACCAGATACTCCAGTGTTAAGTGTGCGGATTTCCTGTTTAGAGTTTAACAGCAGTACTTAGAATTACTTGGGGACAGCTGGCTTTTGACTCAGCAAAATGTGATACCCTTATGGATGTCCCAGGATCTGTGGACACCTTGAATTTGAGCTCTGTCACATCTGTTCCTTGCCTTCTGCTCAGCATAAGCCAGGGTGAAATGATCTTAAGAATTTTATCAGACTTAATGTTATATGAATTTCTCCCCATCCCCCAGTTTCACTCTCATCAGCTGTTTCACATCTTTGTGGTTGCCGGAGCTTTCGTTCACTTCCACGGCGTCTCAAACCTGCAGGAGTTCCGTTTCATGATCGGTGGAGGCTGCACTGAAGAGGATGCACTGTGATACCTACAGGTAGCCAGGGACCATGACCCTGTACCTAGGCCTGCAGCAGCAGCAGCGTAGCAACAGCAGCAGCGGCAGCATCAGCAGCGGCAGCAGCAGCAGGACTCCCTACTGGCCACTGATGGCAGTATAAGAGGAGCCCCAAAACTTTGACAGCCTCATGGGCTTTGTGACAGCCCAGGGGCTCCACGTGGTACACGACTGAGAAGACAAAAACAAAAATAAATCATACCTCAGAGGATGGAGTGCATCAATTAGGAGAAAAGAAGTGGCCCATACCCTGACTTATTCTTGGGATCTGTCCACCGAGGGTGCCGCAAAACCCTTGGCACACTGGCTTCTGACCCATATCATATTTATTTGTGGAAGATGGGGAAACAGTTTAGCTGGTTGTTCTTTCTTCTCTCTCCTAAAACAACAGTACAAACCAATTTAGGTGAAAATTTATATCCAGTTAAGGGAGTGTGATTTTAGAAGTTCTTTTAAGAAGAACAAAGAAATTAATGTAAATAAGATTTCTAACTTACTGTTTAAATAAAAATTTATATAAATGTTTAAAACGTAGGGGTAGGGGAGGGAGGGAGAATTTTTGTATAGAACGAAACATGCAAGTACCACACACTGTTTCAATTTTGCACAAAGTGTGGCTGGTGGAGGGTCAGGCAGCAGCCCCAGAATGTACAGTGTCTTGGTGCACCAAGGTGCCTTCCAAAGGCCGACACACATACCTTGACCCCAGCAGGGCAGAGGTTGCAGCCCCTGCCTCGTGTTCACACGGCATCTCTCAAGTCTGAGAGCCGTTGGGGATTCCAAGGCAGAGGTGGAGGGAAGTGGTGCATTTCCTCAGTTAAAGGCTGACAAAAGGTAGTAGATGAAGGCTGTAGGTAAAGTGTTATTTCAGAGCGTCTGGTAGGCTTATAGTGACCTCTCTAAGGTAGAGCCACTTAGTCCTGTCATTAGTGTTGGAAAAGAGCAGTGGAGACTTAGAGGCACTCTGGGGACATGAGCACAGGGACTCATCTGGTCACTTCCTGACACCCTGTTAAGATGGTGGTACATACGTGACCAGAGCGGTATGAGCAGTTGTCCATGTCCTTGCTGTGGAGCCCTGGACCACTCTGTAAATGTCTATTAATCACTGCCCTGACTACTTTCTTCCTTCTGGAGTGGAAAATTGTCTCTCCCTTATATTACAGTTCCTGGCACAGAGCCAGTCACATTCAAGATTCTAACTTGTATGGGTTCCTCATAAGGTCACTTTCTTAGGTTGGGGACAGACACCTCTGCTCTCCTGGCACAAAAAAGTCAGAACTCCCTAGTCCCCACCACAGACCCTCACCACAGCACTGTAGCCCCACTGCCCATCCCGGGCAGGGATAACATGGGGCAAAGTTAAAAGGAAACTGGATGTTATTGCCAGGCTGTTCGGTAGAACCCTTAAATCTGTGGTTTTGAATTGCTACTAGAAGTGAAAAACGATTGCTCTTGTCCTGGGGCCAGCTTGTTTTGGTGTCGGGGAGAACAGTGGGAGCAGGATCTGGTTTGTAGAATCCTGATCTTGGCTCCTTGGGGAGCTCCCAAAATAGCACTGGAGTCGGGTTCCTGCCGGCCTCCTCAGGTGGTTGTGTCACATCCGGGGGATGGTGGGTACTAGAACTAGGCAGGGGCTTTGGTATCCTCAGAGGAATGTTGGGAGATAAGGGAAGAGTCTCCTATTCCGTAGAATTTTCTCCTTCCTCTGCCCTTCAGATCTTCAGCCATAGCTGGGGTATAGACCTCAATGTAGAACTTGGGGAGAGTTTAGGAGTATTTTGGTTCTGTTTAAGGTCACTACCATAGGCAAGCCAAGCGGAAGCCTGACAGTTCCTGACGGAATGAAGAACAGTATTAACTCCTTGAGGAATCAGTCCGGCAGGTCAGCGGCCACAGGGATGGAAGCTCTCTCAGTTTCATGGGAGCCAACAGCACATATCCGAAGCCAGACTTGATCTTTGGTCACACTTTGGGGTACAGGGTATGAGGTACAGCCCTGTAACAACACCCACAGAAATGGTAGTCTTTGGGCCCAGTCGCCCCACACCCCAAAGCAGGAAGAATCTGGTTCAACAGAGCACAAACCCTTAGGGTACGTGAAACCAACACCACCAGTGCGGAATCCAGTCAACTCCCCCTCTCCGGTTGTGTATGTGTGTGGGCGCGTGTGCCCATGTGTGTGTCTCTGTGCAGCTCACTACCAACAGCCTCAGTGTGCACTTGACCTTCCAGTGCCTGCTGAGAATCTCACCAGGTTGGCGCCTGAATGCCTTACTCTCAGCAGCCTGAGGCTTGCTTGCTCTGTGCAGATTTTTAATTTTTCTCTTTAGCCCTAGGCTGGTTAGGACCTCTACAGCTTCATTCTTTCACCATTAAATAGTGGCCTTTTTCAGTATTCTCCCCCTCCCTTCCCCTTTATAAATTGCCGAAGCCACAAAGCACATTTTGGGGGATCATAGGAAGCTGGGTATCAGAACGGCGTCTGTGTGATGCTTCCATTTGCCATGGGATTTCCCTATTTGCTGTATTCTCAATTTCTCTAATAAAAGAGAGCCAAACGGAATGTGAACTTCTGTTGTGTGTTTATTGCCTTTTCCAGCTTTCCTCCCTTTAACTTCTACCACATCCTTGAAGCCTTAATTTAGACAGTAAAGTTTTAAAAATTTTCAAAACTTCCCGTTCTGAGTGCACAAATCACCCTGCTCGCTGTTCTCAACGCTTGGGCTTTCACTGTAACCTGAACCAGGTTTAGGATGGAAGGGAGAGCTAACCGAGGGATAGTTCTTCATTTATTAAAGTTTATGAAAAGAAAATTTACGGGCTAGGAGTGTGCCTCAGTGATAATCTGCTTACCTAGCACGCGTGAGGTCCTGGGTTCTATCCCCAGCACTGGAACAATTAAAATTTTAACAAAAACCTCGCGTAGTGAATACCTTATGTTGAGTTGTGTTAGAGAACCAGTTGATCACTCACTTGTAACCACTATCCCCAGTGAGTATTATTTTCACTCGTTTTATAGATGAGGAAATTGAAACTTAGTATGTCTGATTTTAGTGCTGTAATTTTATTGGACAAGAGTGAAAAGCATTTAAAGAAAACAGCTTCCTCTTTCCTTGATTGTATGATTTTGACTTTGTTTTTTGAGACAGGGTTTCACTAGGGAGTTGAGGCTGGCCTTGACCTCACTATGGCTGGCTTTGAACTTGGAGTGATCCTCTTGCCTCAGCCACTCCTGGCTATAGACTTGTGTATATTGACCTCAGTATTTTTGGGTTTATTAAACCTGGTCTTTTCAGTACCATTTAATGTGAGGAAATCTCATTCCCTTTGCCTTCGATAAATGTAGTTTTCTTGGGGAATTTCTTGTATTTGGTTGTCTGTTCCACATTCTCATTTTTAAGTACAGATACAACTCCAGGGTCTCTTCATATATTATCTGGGAGTAGGACACTGGACTACATTTGGCTATAGAGAAGTAAGCCAAGGTCCACGGATAGCCCACTTTGGTTTTTCCTGGTGTCTCGCCAGCAGCTGCCTGGGCTTCCTGCTCAAGTGATGACCGTGGATATTTTAGAGAAAGCAGATGAGGACACATTTAAAATTTGACTTCATGGAATGCCGGGCTCTGGGTGCCTTAAGAGGCGCCTCTGGACAGTGCTGCTCTGAAGTTCCCCTAGAAGTAACATCCTTGAGTGCCAGGCTTCAGTTGTATACTGCATTTTGCCCTTCCCTCCGTGGGCATGAACTGTCTGTGCATCACTCATGTCCTATATGATGTACTTACTAGTCTTTTCTGCTTGATTGTTTAACTTGGTGAAACCAAGGGCCAGTCTGACTCGCATAGCTGCTGCTTATGATACGGATCTCATGCAGCCTCTCGTCCCTGTGTCCCATCACCCCTCTCTTCCCCTGTTAGCCTAGGAATGAGGAGAGGTAGGCACATACCCCGTTTCTGCCATTTGCCATGTGACATGGGCAAGATGTCGTTTACTTCCTGGCCACTGCATCCTCACTCTGCAAAAACAAAAGGGTTAGTATATGCTCTGCCTCCTTCGCTGGCACACTGTGGCCCCTTCAGGTGAGCTTCCCGGACCTCCTATACTGATTGGCGTTTCTGCCAAGGCCCTGCTCTAATTCCTTTTGTACTTTCTGCCAACCCCATAAGTACTTTTCTGACCTTAAACTCTATCCACTCCTTTGCCCTCCTGAACTGAAACAGCATCACAAAGTGATTCCTGAAAGAACTTCTATTACAACGTACACATTTACAAGTGGACTTAGTAGTTATATGTGTCTCTGGTTCCGAGGAAGGAAGGTCTGATGTCATCCCTGAGCTCACGGTCATCCAAGCTTGCAGCACGGGCAGGAAAACAGAAAATTCTGCATCCCTTTTTATTAAAGGACAGAGGTTCCAACTTTGTTCTTCTGCAGTCAGTCTGAGCTACACTGCCACCTGCTGTCCTTTTGTGGATCTGTTACAAGTAGGAAGAATCACGCTGACCTTCAGGGGCAACCCTTTATGAGAATATCTGTTCTCTGAGGTCAAGCAGGGTTAGTTTTCAGAAATGGTTTCCCCTCCGTTGGTTCTGGAAGTGGTTCCTGGGTCTCGTAGCCCTCGCTCTCGCATGTGGCAGGACCCTGAGAAAGCAGACAAGGCCCGGAGCTGCCTGGCTCGCACTACGCTTGATCTTTTCCTTCTATGGCCGAGATAGCTACGTTTGTTCAAAAATGCTGTCCCTGGTTGGGGCGAGGGGAGGAGCTTCACAATAGCACAGGACTGTCCTAGAGAGAGACGCGTGCACGGTGTCTGAGTGAGCAGCTGAGACCAAATGCTATTGGAGGTAAGAACGTTTATTAATGCCAGAGATGGGTGACAGTGTGCCCCAGTGAGGAGGGGCTGGAGCAGGAACCAGGACACGCATCCTGCCCCGGCCATCGGACAGAAGGGGAAACAGCCGCTTGGCTGAGCTGGCTGGAGAAAGGGCTCCTGCGGCTCCCTAACCCATCCGACTCAAGGCTCTCATTTCTTTGTCTCCACCTCCACAGAACAAGGTACTATAATAGTAACGTGTTTCATACTGTATGCTAGGCAGTTCTAGGCTCCTTGTATAAATATATTACATTCAGTCTTCACAATAATCTTGCAACAATTTTGAGCCAGTTTTCAACTCTTAAGCTTCAGTTTCCTCATCTCTAAAATGGGGAGAAGTCATGGTCTAGGCCCCAGAGGGTTGTGAGGGTTGAATGAGCTAGTATTTAACATGCTAATTAATGCATGTTACTTTCCTTTGCATGTGAACTTCTCCACGTGTCAGTCTCTTCAGCCATGTAGGGGGATTAATCTCTACCTCACAGGATTGTTCTGAGGTTTAAACGACAGTAACACTCGGTGAACATCTATGATGTAAGGCACTTTCAGATATTACAATAAATGCGTTGTATAGGGTCAGCCCACTGTAGAGGGAAATGAGGGCTGTGTTCTGTGTGGAACTTGGACAACTAGTACTTCTCATGTGGAGGCCGGGGGCTGGAAAGTGGGGAAGGGTTCCTGAAGGCCCTCACAGGTCATGCCTATCATGGGCTGGGCTGCCTAAACTCAAAGATTGGAGGCCACCCTGGAAGTTTTACATGATTCTGCCCTTTGCTGTCACAGTGGAGTGAGTCTGCTACATCTTGAGATCCAGGTTTGAAGGGAGAGAAACCAGAAACTGGGACCCTGGGAGAGGTGTGTGTGTGTGTGTGTGTGTGTGTGTGTGTGTGTGTGTGTGGTCTCCAGGTACAGCTGCCTTCACTATGCACTCCACTTCGTACGCGGCAATGTTCCTCAAAGTTCTAGCTGTAGTCAGTGTTCAGATCCCCCTCGCTGTGTCGCCATGGAGGATGCCCTGCCTCTACCCGGTCTCAAGGCTTGGCGGCTGCTGCCCCTGCTACCTCCCCTGGGTGCACCGTGGTCCCGTGCAGCACCTGAAGAGATCCACCTGCTGGCTGTTGATTAGATGATCGTTTACCTTTAAGTGAGGCTTTGTAAAAAATTTTTCAGAAGGCTCTTCAGTAACAATCTGGGCTTAATACCTATTCCTATTCTATCCTATTCTTGTCCTTTTACTATTTGCTCCCTTGATTCTGTCTCTGTCTCTCTCACGCGCGCACACACACACAGTGGCCACCCCCCTATGTTTTAGGCAGGACATGTTTTCGCCCCAGTCTCCTTTGCCCTTAGCTTTATTCTCCTCCTTTGCACCTCTACATCCTTCTGTTCTGCTGAAGACCAGCCTGGTTCATTAGTGACAGCTCACTCTCTCCTTTAATGGGTTCTGATGTGGAGAAAGGTGAATTAAATTTTTTTGTCTTGGTTGGTGTTGAGCTTGTGCAGACTCCTAAACAGGAGACGGGGAGATAGAGGAGGATGCCTGTGGAGTCTTGCGGTGAATGGAACCGGGCACCCTGGAGGCTCTTAGGGACATGACTTCTGGGATGTTGGTGTTTTTGTTCCTTCCAGCAGTCTTCCTCCTTCTGAAGGGCACTCAGTGGCCCCTCCAGCAGGGACCATTAGTTCAGGATTGAGATGAGGTTTGGGCCTGGAAGCCAACCTGACCGCAGTGAGCCAGCTCCCCGTCAGCTGCTGACTTTCCAGAATGTCTCTGGAAGACGCCCCTTCCACTGTGGGGTCAGAGTGGGCTGTGCTACCGCAGAAGCTAAGGCAGAAGCATGCAGGCACCCAGAGGCAGTAGGAGCAGGAGGAGCGAGGCCGAGGTGTCAGAGGCGCCACCACAGTCCTGGGCATTCTCCTGCGAACCAGAGAGGGGAGAGGTCACTCTCCACCCGGATCTCTGGGGAATGTGGGATCTCTGGGGAATGTGGGAGCCAACAGCCTGGGAGACAGGGCAGGTTCCACCTTTCCTAGACCTTCCAGGGAAGAAACTACAGCTTGGACCACACACAGCCTGGACCGGGCTCGAGCTCCCTGCTCGCTCCAGCCTTGGAGTGGCTGTGGGGTCTTCCTCTCAGAATGGTTTCTGGGAAGTCCTCAATGCCAAGAGCATCCCTAAGGCAAATTATCTGTGGCAACCGTGCTCAGCAAAGACTGTGCTGTGCATAAAGCCCCCAGCTCAGGGCCTGATACCATGGACACCAGGGGCTCAACAGATACCAGTCTATTATCATCCACATACTACTTTCTTCCCGTATGCATGGATCATTAATGCTAAGGGTGGGAGGAATGAGGACAATATGGGGAAACTGTGTTTTAATTCTGGGGCCCAAACTTTAGGAAATGGGGCTCTTTATAGAAGTATCCTTGGGGGCTGGAGGTGTAGCTCAGTGGCATAAGCACTTGTCTGACAAGCACAAGGTCCTGAGTTCGAGTCCCAGTACCAAAAAAAAAAGTATTCTTGGATCCTGGTTGACATATTTTAATGACATGGAGGCTCTGATGTGTTTTTGCAGTACCACTTCCGACCACACACGTGAGGAGTTTCCTCATACCAACCCATTCACCCACTGGGTGTCCAGAAATTCAATTTCGACACTATCTGCCTGGAATTAGCCTCAGACTCCACAAGTTGAAGGGCTCAGTCTTACACACTGCCCCCACCTCAGACATCATGGCAAGTGCTGGTTCTTCAATACTTCTAACAGACTGTCTATAAGTCAAGGGTTCCCTGCTCAAGCTCGGGGATTGTTAGAATAGCTCAGAACTCAGGGAGAAGAGACCTTCACTTACAGAGCTTCCCTGTCCTTTGCTGGCACACCACCCTCTCAGAGCATGGATGCGGACACCTTTAGCAACTTGGGACCTCTCTGAACCTCATTGCTTAAGGGTTTACGGAGGATTCATGATCGATCAAATCATGGGGCTCCATGGGATGAACTCCATCTCCGCCCGGTTCCCCTCCCATCCCCAGAAGTCAGAGGCTGGGGCTGAGAGTTCCAACCCTCTACTCACACCTTTGTCTTTCAGGTGATCGGCCCCCATCCTGAAGCTAGTTAGGGCCCCCGGCCACCAGTCACCCCATTGGCACACAACAATAACAATTCACTCTTATCATTCCCAGGTCCTTAGAAGCACTATGTCAAGACTTAGGGACTAAGACCAAATATAATAAAAGATACCTCTCTCCCCTCTACCACCCAGGAAGTCTCAAGGGTTCAGATACTCTGTGCCAGGGGCAAGTACAAAGACTATGTATTTCTTGTTGTTTCACCACATCACACCACATAAACGTGAATGTGTGTGTGTAAATGGTTCCGAGGAGGTGCACACTGGCATAGAGAATTCAGGGATGGAGACCAGGCCCCACTTCTCAGCCTGCCCAACCCCGCACCTCCGGGTGGAAGGCATGGCAGGAATCCGGTCGCCGGCGGGGCTTCTGGGAGCGCATCCTGTCACACTTGACTGAGGCATTATGTACAGAACTCATGGTCAAGGGCCACCACTCTGGACTCCAGCTGATGCTGGAGACCCAGGACTGGATGAACCTTCCCCAGGCGGTACCAGCTGCTTTGCCAGCAGCTTCAGGGGTGGGAGACAGCCCCCTACGGGCTCAGAGAGGTGGGCAGAGAACAAAGAGGGATGCTCTGTGGGGAAGGCAGGGGAGGGAGGCTGGCCTCAGCACTGAAGCAGGAGCCTCCTCCCAGTGCCTGCAGCCTCCCCCTCCGGAGGACAGACAGTAAGGATATATTTGACTTCCGTGGCCTCTTGCAGGACTGGCGGGAAGGCACCGCAGTCACAGGTGGGGTCTGTCACCAACAAGAGGAGGTTGCTGCTGGGAATCTGCTGCATCACAAACATCCTGCAGCAAAGACAGGGGGGTTGTGGACTGTTCATAGCGGCGTGGCAGCTAGGAGAAGGACTCCAGGGAGAAAAATTCCTAGGACTTGTGGGGAGCTAGGGCGGCGGCGGAGGAGACAGAACACAAGGCAGGTAAAATCCAGGTAGTTCCACAAGCAGCCCGGCTGAAGAATCCCATCTTGTTTGCTGCTTTTACCACAGTTGCATTTCTCCTTCTTGGCAGACTATGGAAAGTGAGGGCGGAGGTATTAATATATGCGGGGACACCAGCAATAGGGACGCATGGCCGCCCTTGCTTTGGAAGGCGCAGTGTCACTTATGGCCACGTGGTGGCACTGTGCTCCCGCACACAGCCCCGTGTTGTTGTGGGTAGCTGGGGGCGGGCCTGTGATGCGTGTTATGCAACAGTTCCAGTTGCCGCTTAGAGAGCATCTCCTGTGGGATGGGAGGTATTTTGCACACACACATATGTACACACACATAAATATGTCTATGTTTAACCTTCCCAGCACACGCGAGGCTGGTACTGTAGATGGCAAAGCAGGCTAGCAGAGGTTAGGTAATTTGCTCAAGCTTACACACTGTAGTGCGGCAGAACCAGTGATCAGGTCTGTCCACTCACAGGCCCTTGTTTGCACCATCCCACTGACTTTGCCCTCCTGCAAGCCTTAGAGGTAAGTGTACAGTTAACACTAGTCCCAAGAAAGCAGTTTCAGCGAGGTTAAAATCTCACCAAACACTAACCTGTGAGGAACAGACAGATAGAAACCTGAACCCATCTGAGGCTAAAGTCTGCGGCTTTACACCATAACATATTTTGCTTGGGGTCTGGGAGACAGAGGACGTCCTGGGTGGTTCCTGGCGAATAGCAGGTCTGGCTGGGGGCAGTGTGGGCAAGAGGCCAGAACGGAACTCCCAGGGAGGCTCTGAGCCGGTGGGGGTGGGGTGGGGGTACCCACGGTCTGACAGTGCCAGGTCTGGGATCCTCCTGCACCCCACCCGCTGCTGAGGACACCTGGAAGCTTTCACACCTCGGCTCAGGACAAAGTCAGCGAAGGCCTGGCTGGCTTCTTTCTCAGATCTCTGGCACAGAGCCTGCGTGGCCTTCCAGGCAGCCCGCTGCAGTGTGAGGGAGACAAACCTGCAGGAGTGGCGAGGCTGCGGGGCCTCCAGCTGGGCGCGACTTGCTCTGGACTGCCTGTCCCTGTCTCCCCTAGCACTGCCAAATGCCTGCTGTCCCTAGCAGGCTGCCTCACCGCAGTCCTTTCCTTAGCCTGAGTTTCCTGCACAGAGCAAAGTGCAGCGGGGTGGGGGCCGCTGAGGAGTGGGGCCTTCGCCTTGCAGGCGGCACCCTTCCCTCCTCCCCACTGCGGATATCCCTGCGGGCAACAGGCCCTTGTCTACGTGGTTGTCTTGTCCCTCGGCTGGGCACAGGCCGAGAGGCTCTGGGGCCTTACTTCTGGCAGGTCCCGCATGCGATGACCCCGTTGGTCTCCTGGACGGCGGTCTGGTGCACAAACACGGGGTACTCAGTGTCGCAGGGGTGCAGCAGGTCCTGCTTCTTGTGCTTGTGGGCTGCGTGGACAGAGGCACACGTGTGAGGAGGAACATCATGCTATTCCTCCTGCTGCCAGCCCGCCTCTGTGATGTACCACATAACGACCTTCCCCGCCAGGTCCACTGCAGATGGAGCGAGTAACGTTTCTCAGGTCTGTGGGCGGAAGTGGGGGGCTGGGCCGAGTAACTGAGGCAGCCTGGGCGTCAGGGCTACGGAGCTCAAGTGTGTGTCAGAGCCACACTGGCTCCTGACCTTGGGGAAGCCACTTCCTCTTTTTGGAGGCCTGTGTCATTGTAAACTGGGGTTGGCACCTGTCCCCTCTCAAAGGTTCCTCCTAGCATGGACACCCTGAGGGTCTGGGAGAGGAGTAGAGGTGGTAGGGATAGCTCTGTGGGGAGGCTTTAGCCCCTCTGCCCTTTAACCTGACCTTCTTTGCGGACACCTTGGGTTGTCCCTACAGATAGCTAGAACAGCTACCCAAGTGCCGCTCCTGGGTCAGCTTGGCCCCGTGGCTACCTTGAAGCCAGGTTGAGCCCTCCCTACCGTGATGGAGCTGAGCCCTGGTTGCTGACCCAGGAGGGCTGGGCAGGAGGTCTCAGTGCCCAGGCTGCCTAAGCCCGCGGACACAGCTCCCAGCATCTGGTGCTCCTAGTGAGGTCAGCGTGATGGCCCCTAGCTCACCAACACAGGGGCAGGGGTGGAGCAAGCAGGGCTGTCCAAAACACATGGAAGTTGGATGCCCTGCTGGGGAGGACCCGCTGGTCCCTGCTGGGGTCACAGATGGGCCCAGGCAGAGCAGGCCTGCCCAAAGCACAGGGCTGGGCAGCACGGCCGTCCTTCCTCAGAGCAGGTGTCCACACTCTTTGGTTGCTCACACCCAGATGTGAAATAGGCAGCACAGCAGCCAGGCCCCATGTTATGCACGTGGTTGCAGAGGGCCCGGTGTGACTCTGCCGTCCCAGGGGGCATGAGAGGAGTTAGTGGGAGATCTGCAGGGCTCCTTCATTCCAGGCCCACAGACTGCCCTCCAGACCTTGAAGCCAAGAGGGGAGGCCAGTGTGCAGGTAGAAAAATCCTCAGGGACAGTAAAGTTTTCAAAGCTTAGCAGGGGGTTCGTTCTGGTCAAGCTCACTGTCAAGGGCAAAACTACACATCCCTTGGCTCAGCTCAGAGGATAGGCACTTGGGTAGAAGTCTCGGACTCTGGCTCTTGTCCTTGATGTGTGTGTGTGGGGTGACCCAGGACTGGGCCTCTCTCCCTGTCACCTGGGCCACTTTGGTGGTTAAGTGCAATTCAGTAACGATGCCCATCACAGCCACAACAATGACAGGATGGGGTGGCTTCCCCAAGGTCACAGCAAGACTTCTGCTCCTGGCTGAGGCTGCAGACTCCTAGAAGCTTCAGAGATCAGCTGCCCCAGAGAAGTAAGTTTTGGAGCAAGTAGCCATGAGGGACCATCCTCAGCTTGACAGAAGACAAGGGGATTGTGTGCCCAGCTTGTGACCAGGCCCTGTGTTTCTGGAGAGAGGCAGAAAGGACCTGAAGGAGCGACCTGCTCCTCAGTGGGCTGAGACACATGGTTCCTGGCTGCTGTCAGCAACTCCAGATGACCATGAACTGAGTGGACCTGTTAGGACCGTGAGTGGTGATCTCCAAAAGCAGCCTAGAGACACGGCAGAGGATGGGCCATGTGAGCTGAGGGTGCTAGGCCTTTGCTTTAGTCAAAGGCAACAGGCCCCAGGGGACAGTGGGAAGGCGAGATAAGAGCAAGCAGGAGAGGACAGACAGGGAGATGGTATCTTATCAGGAAGGCAAACACAGAAAGGGATGGGGGACAGGAACTGTCCAGACAGTGGAGAAGTTGCACAACCGCGTGGAAAAGGTTCTGTTAACCTGGGTGAGTGGAATGAAATGGGTTGAAGCACGGAGCTGGTGTGGTTTCAGGGGCTCCATGTCCCCAGGAAGTGACACTGCATCTGTATCTCTTGGGCACTGCAAGACCAGGCACCCTCGTTCCCCAGGGCTGTGCACACGCGTCGCAGAAGCTGGGATGAAGCTATTGCTTCGTGTCAGGATCTTGTCACAATGTCACTGCCTTTGGGGGACTCTGTCCTCAGACACGAGATAGCGGATCGTCATCCTCAGAGGCTTTGGGTGACCACTGCTGCGCTCTAGAGTCCTGTGTGGGCTGGGGACACCTGGTCTGGAGGTGTGACATCACTTTTTTCTCCAAGGGGTGACCTAGGGGCTGCCAACCTGCACTTGACCACATTTCCTTCTGGACCCTTGTGTGCTCTAACCCAAGGACATGGCTAGGTTTCTTATGTTCTCCGGGGCAGGGCTACGCTTGTGTGGGATGAGACCTGGGTTCCTCCCTGCCCCTCACAGTGTCTCCTGAGTGAGGGGTGTCTGGGGAGGAAGAAATATCAACCCTTCCTGAGCTCATTCCAGGGATGTAGAGTTGAGGGCTGGTCCTTTGCAGCTCCCCGACCCACCATGGCCAGCAGGGGTCTCCTCAGATGATGCTACTTACAGTGATGGAAGACAGCTTTGGCTGCTCAGAGCATGAGGCCAGCACAGGGTGGGCATGATGTCACACAAAAGCAGGACGTCACAGGGTGATGATGTCACATGGAGCGGCGGTGTCCCAAAGTGATGAAATGTCACAGAGAGGTGAAGGAGCCAGGAGTGAGTGTTGGTAATGAGAGAAGCCCAGGCAGGATGAGATTACAGGCAGGACATGCCTCAAGCCCCCATTCCATGGTGCCCCACCCAGGAGAAAGGTTTCCAAGTTCTGGACCAAGATGCCACCTGGCTGTGCAGGCTAAGTACTCACCATCACCCCCTCTGTTATGCCAGGAGCCCCAGGCACTCCATTCCAGCAGGAACCTGATAGACACAGAACTGAGTCTCGGGCATTCACACGCCCGCCCTACCTGGGCCCCCTGGGACCCTAGTTCCTCCGTCTCCTCCCCTCCAAAACACCCCAGTCCTGCTGAGGGCTCTGAGTGACGCAGGTCCTCCTAACAGTAGTGGGAAGGAAGGAGAGAGGAGACCCTACACCCCCAGGGCGCTGCCCTCCTTCCTTGGGGCCTGGCAGCAGATGTGGGGAGCAGGTCTCAGGCATCCTCCTCAAAGGGCTCCTTTACAAGCCACACCCTCAGCCTCCTCCTCAACCCCACTTACAGTAAGAGCTCCTTCACCAGCCACCTGGTCGCCGTCAGGAGGGCTGAGATTGGCTGCGGGGGAGAGAGCAGGGCACACATTTCGAATGCGCCCAAGGGCTAGGTGGTCTCTTTACCACTGCCTTCGGGCCAGATAGGCAGTAGCACAGCCACCCGCTGACTGCTGCCTTCTGCCTCCCTGAAGAGGAGCGTCCTACACTGAGCTACTGGACAGTGGGTTTGGACGTCAGACACATTGCAGGGTTAGGCACGCTCTCCCAGAAGCCCGGTCATGTTCTTGTCCTGGTGGCCCCAGCTGCGGAGAAGCCCTGATGATTTCTATGCCGCACTGGGGGATGAGGTCTGGGAAAATCAATTCCCTCTCCCTGAGGCTCTTTATCTCAGGAGCCGGGCGCCTGAGGATGAAACCTACAGGTCTGGGTGGGGTGGGGGGCTGAGCACCAGGTGTGGGGTAGAAATGGACAGTCACGAGTGGCCCTGGGCCCTATGGCTGGGTGAGAAAGGGCCAGCGAAAAGGATGTGCAGCCGGTGGGGGGAGAGGGCCGGGTGACACTCACGCTGACCAGGGGCTGGGCAGAGCTGTGGTGGGGATCCAGGGCTTTGCACATGGCCTGGTAGTCATACATGGTCACTCTGAAAACCAGAAACAGGGTGTGAGAGGCCCAAAACGCTCCCAAAACCTGCTGCTACCCAGACACAGGGTCACTACAGGACTGCATTCACCAGACCCAAAGGATGCCTGAACTAGGACAGCAGGCCAGGAGACAGGGCCTACTGGAAGTGACACCCTACACCGTGGAATGGCTTGAGCAAACTGAGCAGTGTGTGGCTTGCTTCTTGCTGGGTGGTTTTCCTCTGAGGGCTTAGCTGGGGCTACGGCTTCTACCAGGGATGTCCTCATGGCCACGTGCTCCTCTCTCTTCGTGTCAAGCCCTTGGCTCCAGGAAGGCTGACTTTGGGGCTCTTTGGTGATTTCACTGTGGGTTTCTGAGGTCCATCAGGACCATATTGTGGCAGCTCTGTGTTTGTTTAGACTGGGGACGGGAGGGAGAGGGTGAGCACCACTTACTGGCTGAACGCCCCCATGCTGAGCAGCTGGGTCATGAGAGCACCATCCACCTCCCCGAGAAATCTTCCCGTCTGTCAGAGAGGAAGAGAGAGCCAGCAAGTGAAGACCGTGGGATCCCAGCTCGGATGTGAGCGCCACAGGGAGTGCTCTGTAGCCGCAGTCTGTCCACGGAGCCCAAGTGGAAGCCACTCCCCGCGTTTGCAGTCTCCCTGCGCGCCATTTCCCTCCTCAGAGCTTTCTATTCTAAATTGTAATCTGGCAGCTGGCCATGAAATCAGCCTTGAGGCTGCAATCAGATTTTTCAATGGTACAAAATTCCTTAGAACAATTTAATGTGAATTGCTTGCAGTAAGGTGAAGCAAGTTTTTGTAAGACTTGATTTGTTGTACGTGTTGTGTGCCCATGTGTGTGCCCGTGTGTGTGTGTGTGTGTGTGTGTGTGTGTGTGTGTGTGTGTGTATAGCTGGCTCAGCCCCAGCTTGGACTGCACTCCCCATCCTGCCTCCCCTGTGGACTGGCCTGGCCTCTTAATTCTGCTGTTTCCTCAGCATGGCAGGATGGATTTGGAGTCTTGGTATAGATATGCTGTAGGTTGTTTTAAAGATTAGGGCTAATGTGCCAGGCTTGAAGTATATGGCAAATGACAGTCATTATTACAAGATGCCCGTGTCCCACTGGGCTGTTCTCCCTGCCTTGACCACCCTTTCTCTGTTCTCACAGCAAGGACTTTCCATCTGAGAAGTCTTCCTATCCTAAATGTTCCAGTTAAAAATCGCCTCTATTTCCTCCGCACTCTGAGAGCACAGGGCTACCTGTCCCGTTAGCTCTGTTGCCTCCCTGTTTGATCACATATTTAGTTGTCTTATGCCTCCATTGTATCGAAAGCTATCGAGGAGAGGGACTGTCTCTTACTCATCGCTGAATTCCCAGAGTCCCTGGATAGACTCATAGAATTTGGGTTGGGCAGGGAGGCAAGAGTCTGAGGCGGTGGCCATGACAAATTCTCAGGGCTTTGATGAGGCCAGAGCCTCCATGTGCCACAACCTCGGCTGCAGGTCAAGGCAAAAATCAGGTCCTCCTCAGAAGGAAGGACAAAGAATGATGAGGAGAGTGGAATCCTAGTGCAAGCTGAGTCCCTGGTCTTGTGGAGGTTCCTCCATGGACAGTGTGCTGTGAAATATCTAAAACAATGGCGTGCATTATAACTTCCAGTAAAAAGAGATGCCACTCTGGCATAGGGACAGATGGCTGTGGATCTGACAGACCCCCCCCAAAGGAGAGCCAGGTGTTGTCTGAGAACCCCCACTTGGGGCCTTCTCTGGGCAACTAAGTGGATGCTATTGACTCCTAAGAAGGAAAAAGATTAATTTCAGATGAGAGTCAGCCAGAATGCAGGGCTCCTGGACATAAGATCAACAATCAGAGAAGTTTCTTCCAAAGAAAAGATGATGGTGCTGTTTTGGGTAGTAGTCCCAGTGACGCTCCACTTTCTGTGCTGCATTCTAAGCAAATGGGGCCAGAGGCCTCCAGATACACCCAATTTTAGAATCTGGGATGAAGTCAGGAAATGTTACTTTCCAAATCAATCAATCAATCAACAATCAATCAATCAATCCATCAAGAAAATATAACCTTTTCGTCCTATAGTATTTCTTCTTTGGAAACAGCTCACTTATGAAATTACAATGTCAGGATACAAGCCCCCAGGAATGTATGGCAAAACTATAATCTCAAGAACTATAAATTAAAGACAAAAGTAAAGAGGAGAAAACCAAGAATCAGAGCCGAAGTGGTAGTCAGGTATATGTGAGTTCTGCTTTCTTTGCCTGAATGCCCTGGCCTCCAAAAACTAGTGTTTAGTATCCTTTATTCATAAGACATGCACTCACTAGGACAGTGTGATTAAAAAATGAATGAAACGGACAGTAATCAAGAGCTCAGACCAGTTTGGATAGAGGAGCACGTTCTCCCTAACACAGGACATTGTAACTAGCAATTGGTGCTTTAATAATGGAGGTATAGTCCAATGGGCCCGATTGTTCTGACTAGGAGGCCTGATGCGGACAGGCCTCACTGCAGAGGCAGTGGACAGGAGAGCGGACGACAGGGAGGAGTCAAGGGCATTCAAGGGAGGGGCGGAAGAGCAGGTGGGAAGGTGAGAACCTTCCAAACCCTTCAAGGGCCAGCCCAAAGCCAGGGAGAATGAGCCTCCCAGATCCCTGCAACTTGAGTCATCCCTCTCAGACGGCTCACTCTTTGCGGGAGTCCAGTGTCTGTGTGAGCATTGTTTCTCCAGCACCAGACAGCAAGATCCTGGAGGGATCCAGCACCCACACCCAGCTCTGGCCCCCAGGATCACACCACGGTGGTTATGTTTATTTGCAGAAGGAATGTGTGAAGGAATAAATGACTGACCTGAGTCTTTTGCTACCTAGGACAAGACAGCAGAGTGGAGACCAGGCCCCTGATGAGGCTGGTCACAGGACTGTCCCATTCTCTTTCCTAATTTTAGCTTTATTCACAAACAACCCTGTTGTCAGGAGTTGTTTCTGAGAAGGGAGCTTCCTGACAGTAGTCAAGTGTATCCTGGACACTGGGAAAACGTATCTTCGTCTGCAAATAAAACAGCTAAAATTCCCTAGAATATGTTACTGCGCAGAAAGGGTTCACCATCCGGATTCTTTAGTAAAGCAGCCTAACAGCTGTAGCAATACCCTCCTTGCTAACTTAAAGGTAAAAGACTATATTTCCCAGAAGCCTTTGCTCTAAGGACTGGCCAATGAGACGTGAGCAGAGTAACAAAGAAGGACTTCCGGAAGTCCGTTTAAACCGAGAGGACGCCGCCGGAGGTGCCCGCCCCTCTCTGCGGCCGTCACCCTTGTCTGGGAAGGCGGCTAGAAGGAAGGAAATCCCGTTGCTATGTTGTTGTTTTGAGTGTGGTGATGGTTGCCTCGTCCATTCTTCAGTGAGAAAATCAATCTGTTTTGTTTAAACCACTGTAGTGGGGATTTACTCCTGCAGGACAACGCAGTTCCTAGCAGATACGGTTTCTTGTGGCTGTTGTCAGAGTGAAGGAATCAGTGGCTCAGATCAAAGCCAAGGTCCAAAGTTTGGCTTTAGGTACCTTGTCTATTCTGGCCTGCAGGCTGAATGTGAGGCCGCACCTCAGCCCGGCACTGTGGAAGGGTCGACTGCCCTGTAGCCCCTTTCCTGGGATAATCCGTGCGTCACTAACGCTCCTTGGGCTGACTGAATTTGGCGGGACTGAAGGGTCTAGGGTTCCCTGAGTGTATTGCGTCTGACAGGGAGTCTGGAGCGAGGTGAGGTCCTGAGAGATGCCACCCAGGAGCCTGAGGCAGGGAGCAGATGGGCTCCAGGCAGCAGTGAACTCAAAGCTAATTATATTCCTGCTGGTTGGGTGATCACCCCTGTGGGGTAATCTGCATGCCTTGTGAAGTTGCAGCTCCAGTGGCCCCTGTCCCCAGGGAGAAAGGGTGCGCTCAACTGTGGTGATAATGGAGCTACAAAGCAGCCTCACGTAAGGACAGCCTCAGTTTCTTCTCCTCTAAAAACGGGGACAAATACCCTCTCAAAGGGTGGGCGGCTTTCAGCACATGTGAAACTCAGTTTCCTTTGGTTCCTTCCTCCCGAGCTGAGTTGAGCTGAGTCCCTTGATAAGTACCTGTAGCCGCATGGAATAGGGGTGGTGGTTGGTGGGAAGGCTTGGGAAGGGGGTGGAGTCTGTGCCAGCTCTACAGTAGGCACCAGGAGAGCTTGCCTCTGTGAGGATGGGACCTGGTGACTGGGTAGATTTCACTCCTGTGGCACCCGTGGGGCGGGGGCGTTGGGGAGCTGGGAAGGCAGAAGGGGAGCTGCGGTGAGGCACAAGGGAGCCGGAGACACAAGGAATAGGCCCGCTGCAAGGTGGGAAAGGAAGGGGGCCAGAACCTCAGGACCAGAGGTCTGTGATAAAGGGCAGAGAGGAGGGCAGTAATGTGCCTCTCAGAGAGCCGCAGCCCCAGGGGAATGTGCTGAGATGGGGCATTTGATTTTCTGGGCTTTGCTGTTTAGCGGGGACTGTTTTGAAGCTCCATGGGTAGGTGCTGCCCACAGGCAAATTACAGGAACTGGAGTCCCCAGCCCAGAGTGACAGAGGGTGGGCAGCTTTCACCACTGTAAACATCACAAACCTAGACAGAGCCACTGGCACTTTCCTGGCCTCACACCATCCTTATCACTGTCTAGGCCCTTTTTTAGTTCTTCATTAAAAGAATGAGCCCAGAACTGGAAGAGAGGTTAGGTGGGGCCCAGTGTCTGATCAGCAGGTCTAGGGTACCACCAGGACAAGGAGGAAGCTACCAGCCACTTCCGTGGGCAAGCAGGCTGCAGAGAGCTCCCTTGGGCTCCTTTGCAGGGTAAGAGGGCCTCGGGTGAGCAGGAGCAGGGCAGGACTTTCTGGAGGAATCTTTGCATGTGGAGAAGCAACAGACTTTGTTCTCCACGCCCTGAGTGGGTCCTGGAAGGGACAAAGGCATCCTGAACCTTCTCCACATCACTGAGCTAAGAAGATGGGCACCGCCAGCTGAGGTATATCCAAACCCCAGCAACTGGCAGGAACACTTAAGCAATGGTTCCAAAATTGTACTGTGTACCAAATCACCTGGAGGTGTCATTTAAACACAGGCTGCCGGGCCACCCCAGAGTTCCTGAGTCCCTAGGTCTGAGGCGGGCCTTGAGACAAGCTCTTTGATGCTGACGCTGTGTGCTCCACATACTCTTAGAGGTCCAGGGACAAGGGGAGAAGCAGTGAGGAATGAGTTGAGGAAGGCCAGGCTGGGTGGGCCTTGATGGCTCTTGTGAGTGTCTGGAGAAGGTGGCAGGTTGTGTAGGGGGGTAGGAACGCGTGGTGGGCAGATCCAGAAATGGTTCATGGTGATCCCAGACTCCTGGTAGCCATGCCCTCCTGTAATCCCCTGTGCTGGAGTGTAGGTCAGACTTGCCAGCTGACTTTGAACAGATAGAATATGGTAAGGCCATGGAGTATCACTTCCGCTATGAGGCTTTAAAAGGCTGTGCCTTCCTCTCGCCTGTACTCTCTGGTTCCTTCATGGCTTGGTGTTTGTTCTGATGTGACAGGCTGCCCCATGTGAGAGCCCACGTGATAGGGACCTGAGATGCTTCGTTACAGCATCCCACTGGTCATCATGGGAGAGCTGGAAAGTGCGTCCTTCCCCAGTCAGCCTCAAGGTGACTGTAGCCTGATAAGAGACCCTCACCCAGAGGCCTTCAGCTGTCCAGACCCAATCACAACCAGATTCCTCACCCACAGAAATCCTAAGATTTCTAAACCTTGTGGCTTTAGCCACTAATTTTGGGGCACTCTGCTACCGAGCCATAGATAATTGCTACAGTGTTGGTGAAGGAATGAGTTTTTAAAACAAAAAGCAAAACTGGACAGATGATGGATGGACAGATGGACAGCCAGCTGAACAAGCAGCATGAGCACCAGGCTTTCTACCTCTCTGTCCCCTAGCTACTTCCTGTCACATGCCTGTGACTCCGGGTCTCACACTAAGGCCAGTTCAGCTTCCCTCACAGTTAATAAGTGTCTGCTTTGCCTCAGGGGTCATGCCAATCTCTGGCCTAGTGCCTCTCATAACTGGACCCAGCCCTGTTAATGAGGGAAGCGCCATCCAGAGTGAAGAAAGAGGAATTAAACCCGGTCAAGATACCACCAATACAGAGTCCTGGAGCCTAACCCCAGGATCGGGATTCCTGGATCCCTGTTTCTGGCACCATTAGTCCTAATTTTGTGAGATTCACTCAAGTGCAATGAAGTGAATGAACTGCTCTGAGAAGTGACAGAGTGACCCAGGGAGGGTGACCACCCAGGGGACTGGAAACTGCAGCCTGCCACACCCTGCAGACCAGCTCCATCTCCCAAGGTCACCAATTCTATCCTACAAATGCTTATGTCTTACAAAAGCCAGAGGGCCCCTGGCTTGGTCTTTTCACATGGGGTCTTTTCTAGACCCTCCCTCTCCCTCTCTATTGCTGCCCTTCAGTTGTATTTTTGGGTTCAAACTCTGCTTTCCTGTAGCTGTGAGTTCTGGGGTTAATAATGGAACCTCACACAGCCTGTTTTTTTTTTTTCCCTTTGGTGTAAAATAAGACTAGTATCATCACAGCAGATGACAGTGGGGAGGGGAGGGAGAGCCAAGCAGAAGAAGATCGTGTAATCTACACCCTTCATTGTGCTTCATTTCACAAAGGGTTTGGGATGGCTTATAAATCTACGTACTGTGTAAGATGGTAGTGTGATAGTTGAGAAAATAGGAGTGAATCTCTGAATAACTGATATAGCCACAGTTGTTCCCAGTGATACCATAATTCATGCAGATGTGAGCAGATGTGGTCTGAATAGGACCAAAGTAGCCCAGTGGGTGGTGCCAAGGACCCCATGAGACTTTCCATTGCAGAGGTGCCCCTGCTCTTGCCAGTTTCCCTTGAGGCAGGTCCCAGGTTGGGGCAGGCTCCCCACTGGGCCTGACTCCCTGCAAGGTTGTCCCAGCTGTCTGGAGCAGAGGTTGCTGAATCTGGGGCATCTTCATAATGAAGAATTATGTGGACCCCTGATTTAAGAATGATTTTTCAATTTTCAATGGTTTTCAAAATTCAGAAGATTAATAAATTTCATGGCATATGAAAATGATATGAAATTTGAATTTTAGTGTCTGGAATAATGCTATGCTCATTCTTTGTGTACTGCCTACGGCTGCTCTAGCGGAGCTAGAAGCAGAGACCGACTCAGAAAGCCTAAACCCCTAATCTGCGCTTTCTGTCCCTTTCCTTACAGCACAAGCTAGCAGACTCCTGCTTGGAGCACAGTTTCTTGGACTTGGCTACTCTTTCTCTGTCTAGGCTCCCTTCAGCCTATCCAAGCATCCTTGCTCGCTCTGAGACTCCTTAGCCCAGGGCCTCTCTCCAGGCCCCTGAAAGCTAATACTACAAGAGACCAGGAGCTGCCAGCTCAATTACACAGGCAGCAGGAAGCAGAGCATGAGTGACTGAGGGCATCGGGTCACCCAGAGCCTCACCCTAACCATGGGTTCCAACTCCTGACCTCAGCCTTTTTCTGCCGGAGCAACTGAGAAATACTAAGATGAACAGGTGACAAGTCTGGGAGAGAGCAAACTACCCAAAAACAAAAGGGAACAGAGGGAAAGCAGAGGCAGGTGCCCAGGTGATCACACCTATCAGCGAGCCGTTGGGGTCCTACAAACCCTCATGCTCCTCAGCCCGGCCCCGCTCCTACTGTAAGGAACACAAGTGGACTATCTTTCCCTCCACTCATCTCGCTGCATCTTTAGTGGCCATTTAAAAACCAGCTGCAGGGCGTCAGCCCCTGTGGTCCTTCGTGTCCCTTCTTCTCAGTTGCTGTCTTTCCTGTCTCCTTCTGATGCTCTGGCTCTAGTTCCTGCAGTGTTCTCACAACTTCTTTGGACCCTAAGCCCCATCCAAGTCAGGCCAGACCACTGCTATGTGGGGGCACAAGGAATCTGACACTTTGGGTGACCTTAAGTCTTCATGTGGCCCAGCCCCCTGATTTATTTTTTTCCAGTACTGGGAATCGAACTCACGACCTTGTGCTTGCCAGGCAGGTGCTGTGCCGCTGAGCTAAATCCCCAGCCCCCAGACCCCTGATTTTTAACAGAAGGAGGCTGAGGCACAAGGCATGGAAGTTGCTTGCCCAGATCTTATATATTGTTAGTAGCCAAGCCACATTGAACCATACTGTGTCCTTCCACTGAAATTCAGCCCGGAGGCCACATAGATGCCTTGGGCTCGTTTCAAGGAAATCATTCAGGTGAATATATTCAGGTTTGATTTAGGCTTCTTTTATACTTTGATTCTTGACTAATTAACTTCAGGGTCCAGTTTCTGGCCCAGCAAATATGAAATAGTATATTCTCTTGGCTTTCTGGGCACTTGGGTGCGGACGCCACCTGCTGGAGGGACAGGAAGGACGCATGTGGCCCATACGGGAGAGACAGGGTTGTTCCCCCTCCTCATTGCCCCACTCGCACAACAAGGGTCGCGTGTGGTGGCTGGGAGAGGCTTTTCCATAGGGATGTCCAGGAAGGAAAGGAGCACAGGGTAGAGGAGACCCGAGCTTCTGAGCCCCATGATAGAAAGGGGTGGAAGGCGGGAGGGAGGGAGGAGACAGCAAACAGTGGGGTGCTTAGGACGCTGGAAGGAGGCCCCTCCAGGCCAGGCCGGTTCAGGACACAGAAAGTACAGTACAGTGCGGTCAGGCAGCCTCAAGCTACACTTTTCCTGTGTGTAGCGTGGACATTCTCCCTCCAACCGAGGGAGGGGCCAGGTTAGTTACAGATAAGACAGAGATATAATAGTTTCTCTGACCACCTAAGCTGAAAAGTGCCCCAAATTCTGTAACCTTGACATGTTGGGGTCCTGACTCTTCCTTTCTCCCCAGTGGCTTACCTCCTGTGCCCTCTCCGAGATCAGAATGAAGCCATTGTTGTCTATGATGAAGCAGTCCAGATCCTGGGGAGAGGTCCAGGAAGGAGGTTATGACTCTGCGCAGCCGTAGACCCCTGGTCCCCCACGTGACCCGTCAGTTTGGGAGGGAGGCTCTGAAGGGGTGGGGGACGCCCTTGGAGCCAGGGCTGCAGGGAAGGCACTGGAACAGAGGGGTGCCGGCTCATGGAGGGGACACGGACTGAGGTTGCGCAGCCCCCGCTCCCGCCTGCTTCACACGGGGAGAACTTACGCTGTCCTCGCAGCTCTGTGGGCACTGCCCATCCTCAGCGCTGCACTGGAGGCAAGAAGGGAGGGGTGAGTGGAGCACAGCCGTACGTGTGCGTTGTGTGTCTGGGGCGAATACGCACACGTGTATGTGTGTGTAGTATGTTACACGTGTGACCTCCGTGGAGGGCCATTCATGGTGTGTATGGGTATGTGAGGCGTGGTGGGCACGTTTACAGCAGGCTGCTTATGTTGTTCACAGGGGTTCGTGCTTGTGTGTGTGTGTGTGTGTGTTATACTGTGCGTGTGGTGAACGTGTGGTATGTGTGTTGTGTCCGGAGGATCCATGTTGGTGTATATGGTGTGTGTGTGGTATACGTGTGTGTGTTTTACACTGTGTATGCTGGTGTGCGGAGTGTGTTGCTCGTGGAGGGTCTGCATGTGGGGTGTATGTGAGTGTGCTGTGTGGTAGGCATGTGGTGTTCGGGTTGGGGCTCTAAGCAGTAGGCCAGGCTCTCCAGAGGGGGCAACAGGCCCTGCAGCCCGAGGGCCTCTTGTGCTCAGTGAGGGGAGGAGGCCTGCAGCACTGCTAGGAGCCTTCTAGGTGACTATAAGGGGCTGTCATGGGGTGAGGGTGACCCAAGGTGACCCAGGGGCTCAGGTGGTCTCCATTTATCCTCCTGTCCCTTCTCCCCTCATCCCGTAACTCTCCAAACATGGCCCAGGCGAGGACATGGCAGCAAGGGACCGGGGAGGGGCGGAGCAGAGGTGGAGGCTTTGACATGGAGGGGGTGGGGGGGCATGGAGGACACCTGAGAGTTCAAGGACCAGGCGGAGGGTCTGAGGGACAGAGGAAGAGCAGGGGCACTGGGCAGGGGGCAAGCATGGCTGGGTTCTCAGAGCCAGTCCACAGCCAGGCCCGGGCCTTGGTGGTGGACAGGGCAAGGCGGCTCCCTGCTCTGCAGCAGGCAGGGTGGAGTGGCTCTGGGGCGGCACCAGGAGTGTGGTGTAGGCCAGGCCCGAAGGGGATGCACGTCCTGCCCTTTGCCACTGGGTCTGTGGGGAGCTAGCACGGGGCTGGGTGAGTGGGGACGAGAACAGAGGCCTGGTGTGTGGCCAGGGCAGCCATGGGGGCAGGAAAGGGCGGACCTGTGAGCGCATCATGGTGGTGGTGGAGGGAGATGGCCCGGGCCGTGGGTGGGAGGCAGGGCCCACCTGGCACAGAGAGCCTGTCACATCCTTTACCCCTGACCCCGCCCAACCCTCACCCACCTGCTGCGTTGCTGCCCAGAACTGGCGCTGGAGGAATTCCACCTTCATCTGGATGCCCACCGCTGCCCCAGGCAGGAGAAGGGGGCAAGGCCAGGCGTGTTGGGGGAGGGGATGGTGGGAGGGAACAGACAGTGAGAGAGAAAAATAGCATCAAGTTAAAGGAGGAGGCGCATGAGAGGAGCTGGGGGAGACAGCACCCGGGAAGCAGGAACGAGCCAGGCTGAGTCAGACCAGAGTACGAATCTGAAGCGCCTGGGGAGTGGGAGGGCTGCGGGGAGAGGAGAGGTCAGGGCGCTTGCTCTGCCTTCCCCATGGGGACACCAATGCCAGGAAATGTGAGAGAGAGAAAGAGAGACAGACAGACAGACAGACAGAGACAGAGACAGAGACAGAAGAGATAGAGACAGAGACAGACACAAGGGCTCTGAGTCCCAAGCACAACTAGGACAAATTCATCCTTGGGTCTCTGGGACCTCGAGGCGTCTGCATGGGGCACTCCCTCCTCCTCTTTCCCACAGACGGAGAAACACAGGCTGTTGAGTGTAAGCCGGCTGTGCAGGGTCACATCGCCAACGTGCAAGACTGAGGCTGGGCCACTGTGAGCTGGGTGACTCAAGGGGCTCCTTGGGTTCTAATCTTGGTGTAAAACCTCTTTTGTACCCGTCTTACTTAGTGTCTTCCTCACACTGGAAGAAAGCTCTCTCCTTGCTGAAAGTCATGATCAGACTCACCGAGCTTTGCAGGCAATTTCTGTGCAACTTGGAGGCCGCCAGTGCACAAATGTTACTCCTTTCATGTCTGCACTTACCTGGGCCACCCCTGCCTCTTTGATTTCCAAATAGGTTTGGAGAACCCAAGCGGGTGCTTACAGGCGAAGAGAAATCTGGGACAAAGAGCACCAGGAAAACTTGGGCCCAAAGAATAGAAAGAAAAGGCAGGTTATATTGAACAGAAAAAGAATTTTAAAAGTAGGCCAGCATCTTAGTGTCTGGTATAATAATATGGCAAATGTGTTGGGTAATGCGTCAGACACTTTACTATTATTATTCTGACTTTACAGGCTGAGGACAGGGGCTTTGTAGAGCTTACATGGCACACCCAAGTTGCCCAGCTAGTAAGCAGCAGAACCAGGGCTCTAACCTTGGTCTCTCTGTCTCTAAGGCTTAAGTGCTTGAGTTCATACTGGGCACCTGGATTAGAGTCCTGGCAGTTGGGAAGAGGCTGCAGGTCACGGGCAAGCCTCTCTTCCACTCTGGCTTTCAGTTTTCTCATCTACAAAATGCATGCAGGTCTGTGTTCTCAACCATTATGCCACATGCAGGAGAAATTCTGAAGTCACCTCAGTGATCCTGGGGAAGATTTCCTGTTGCCGTCATTCTGACTTCCTGAGCACCCCGTACCTGGGGAGCTCCGCCACAATGCGCTGCGGTCCTAGGATGACCCAGAGACTCACAATTGCATCATTTTCCCTTCAATCAGAAATGAGCTTAGAGAAATTGGATGGAGGGAGGGAAAAAGGAAGGAGGGAGGAACAGAGACAGACAGACAGACAAGGGGCAGGGTTGCCTGGCTGGATTTTCCAGGGTTGTGATCTTCGAATTTCTTTGCTCAATTGTACAGTGAGTTGTGATTATAGTTCCTCTAGAAGGGCAAAGGGAGCGGGGCACCACGGACGCTCCAGCAAGATGAGGTGTGAGTCCCTTAGTCCTGACTGCAGCTTTGGATTTCAGACCATGAGGTGCATCAGAATCACTTGGAAGGTGGTGAAGACCCTGTTCCAGGGCTGCTCACCCAGGAGGTCTTGGGTAGGGCCTGAGAATTTGCATTTCTAGGGAATTTCCAAGTGGTGCTGCCTGCAGATCCTGCAACTATTTTAGACTCTTTTTTTTTTTTTGGTATCGGGAATTGAACTCAGGACCTTGCGCTTGCCAGGAAAGTGCTTGTGCCGCTGAGCTAAATCCCTGGCCCCCTGAAACTATTTTGGGGACTCCTGTTCTAAAGCAGCCCTGTGTGACTGGGCTTTCTACAATAATGCCGAGGACCTATATCACTGCCACCCCACACCATAGCCATGAGCACATGTGACGCCCAAAAATATGAAATATGGCTAGTGACCGAGGACTTGAATTTCTGAAATGTTATATAATTTTTTTTTTTTTTTTTTTTTTTGTCTTTTTTGAGACAGGGCCTTGCTATGTTGTTTAGGCTGACCTTGAACTCATGGTGATCCTCCTGCCTCAGCCTCCCAGTGCTGGAATTACAGGTGTATAGCACCACACTAGACTTAACATGCTACTTAATTCTAATTAATGCACGTAAACATATATGCTCAGTGTACTGGACAGAGGGCTGCTAATGCTAATCTGAATTTGCTGATGAAGAAACCACGGCTGCTCCCACCCCGTGGAGTCCCAGGCAATTCTGTAGGTCGCCCTGGCCAGCCCCCACGCACAGATCTTATGATGTGGGATCATCAGAGTTCTTTGGGGGCTTCCTTGTTACTTCAAGGTCCAGATGTCCCAAGGGGGTGGGCAGGAAGGGGGACAGGTGGCTCCATTTCTTGGTTCACTATGCAGAGGAGAGACACACGTCAAGTCCTTGGCAAGGGCCTCGGTGCTGGTGGCTGTGCCCTCATCCTGCTCGCATTTGTCTTTAAGGCTGCAGGCGGCCTCCCTCTTCTTGTTCCTTACAGGAAGACCACCCTCAATATCTCTCACCTGTAGAAATAGGCTGAATGAGAGAGGATGACCCTGGTAACCTTCGTCAGAGGAGGGCCGTGCCAATGCTTAGCACAATCATATCTTCAGGATTTAAAGAAGTTATTGGACCTGTCCTTGTCTTTGGTGGCCAGAGAGGTCTCAGTTTATTCCTAGAATGAGACTTGCCTTTCTTTTCAGGTGACTCACAGTCAAATCTCATGGAATCATGTGATTTCCAAGCCTGAAGAAGTGCTGAGATTCTGATACAGAGAATCGGGAGAAATCTGCGCTCATGAAAATTGGGTTTGGAAGCCCCTTAGTCAGAAATGAGGCAAGCCGGGCACAGAGAAGCTTTTGTGCCAAAGAGAAGCAGCTTCTCTCCCTTGGATCATCATCTCCAAGGCAAGCTCCACATCCTTTGTAGCATTTGGGACGTTCCAACAGCCTACGGACAGTCATCTCCATTTGGGTCACTCACGGGCATTTCGGTGTAACAAGTTCCGAACCAGACTTTCCTGCCTAACCCTGAGCCTTCTTCAGAGGTCCCGCTTCAGGGCACACTGTCTGCATTACGGCTGTCATTCCCTTCACTCCACCCAAGCTTCCCAGACTTCATCCATCTCTCCATGTTTCTCCACCTCAGTTGGCCAAGCCAGCATCTTTCCTGCTTGGATAAAAACAACAGGCCCCTAAGCCATCCCCTTGCCTTCTGCCCTGGCCTCTGTATGACCCATTCTGCACACCGTTACAGGAGTGATCTTTCTGAAGATGGAAGCACAGTGCTCCTTTGTGTAAAATCTCCCAGTGTTTTCCCAATGCCCTTAGGACAAGATCTAAGCTTTTTTGAAATGTGGTCTTAGAAGACCCTACAAGAGCTAGCCCTGCTGGTGTTTCTGATTTCAACCTGGATCACATTTTTCCTCAAACCTATCAAGCTCATTCCCACCCCAGGGCATTTGTACAAGCTGTTGTCTTTTCCTGGAATGCTCTTCCCCTAGAACACCACATTGCTGGCTCTTTCTTTCTCATCATCTGATCTCAGCTCAAACATAATCTGTAGAAACCCTCCCTAATCTTCCCTAATCTCTCTTCCCTAATCTTCCCTAATGTCTAATTCTCCTAGTCCTCACCTTCACCATTTGTTTCCTGTCTCATCATTTTTTATTTTCTCAGTGGTATGAGTTGTTTGTTTATTTGACTTCCCACCCCATTGGGATGATGCTAAAAGCAGGGAAGGAGGTTGAGTTCCGATTCTTAGCACCTAGAACAATACTTATCACTTAGTGGGGCTTCATAAATATTTCTTGGGCTACATAACTAAAATCAATTTAAGTCAGCCATTTGGCCAGGAGGTGATATTCTGCAAGACCTTGCTGTTCCTCAGCTTGGAAGTTTGGGACCTTTCTGAACTCCTGCCTCCCCTACTGAGCTCTGCCCTGTAACTCATCCAGGACTTCACATCTTGGAGATTTAGTTGTGTTCAGAGTCTCTCAAGGAGCTTGGCGGTAATCCATAAGAGACAGGAGCGTGAAGTAAAACACAAAGCAGGACTTCCTCTGGGTGAGAACTGCGTGACGCTGAAAACAGGGCTAGGTAGAGAGGAGGGAGAGCAGCAAGGAGCAGGCAGGTATCTCTAGCAATGCATCAGCTGTGCTCTGCCACGCTGGCCCATACCCCTGCGTTTAATCATTTTAAGACCTTCTGTTCATCTCCTGCCTTCCTCCTCATGCTTTTCCACCCTAGGCACAAAAGACAGCTCCGTCTTTCGTCTCAGGATCCAGTTCTACTGGCACAGTGTCCATTGTCAGCAGCCTCGCGGGGTCTCCCTCTCCGTCCCCTAGGCCCCCGTGGGCCTGCAGGAGGTGGGCTATGTTATGAGGTTTGCAGACAGCTCAGAACGCTTGGTGAAGAGACAGGGAAAGAGGCCGAGGGAGGCAAGGCCTTTGTGAGAGGCTTCCCCGGTGGGTTATTAAGAGACCTTCCTCACGCCTGTGCCTGGTGGGTCCTTGTTTTAGACCTTGGTTCCCAGGGCACCTGCCATGGCCCAGTAGAGGACAAGTCTCTTCCGGTCCCAACCAACCTGGATCCCCTCGCTCGTCCCGTCTGTCCTCCCCTGAACCGGCTTCTCACTCATGAGAAGTGATCTCAGTGATCTCGTGCCTTCCTCTAAGACAGCTCTCCTTTAAGATCACTTCAGGCCTCACAGAGCGCCTCAATCAGGCCGCAGACGGCAGACAGCTTATCAAGATTGCTCCTTGTCCCGACTGTCACCTCCGTGCTGCTTTGTCATCATGAATGGCAAAACGAGACAGCTGTGCACGTGCAAGCATGCATGATCACACACACACACTTATGTGCACGGACCCATGTGTGCATGCATGCACACACACGTGCACACACACACACACACACACACACACGCGCACGCACACAGCAATGACCCCTGTTGAGGGTCCCTTAAGAATTCAGATCTCCTTTCCCTCCTGGCTCTTCTGTTTGTGTTGACCTTCCTCTGTCTCCCAGCCCTGTGTGGGTGACTGGACTGACACTGCAGTGTAGGAGGAGCCTCTTGCCTGTCTTTTGTAGCACAAAGTAGGACCAGCAGGATGCTCAGTTCATACCTGGGTCATACAGGACCAGAGAGCTCAATCTACCTGCTCGGTTCTGCAGCGCGGCTCCTGAGTGAAGCCCCAGGCTGCTGAGTTAAATACGAAGCCACTAGCTATTTGAAGAGCAGGTATGCAGGGTCCCTCTTATCAAACAGTTCACAATATAGGAAAGGAAGAAACCACACTACTGGAAGTCACTGCGCAACTTTTTCTGTGATAAGAATCACAAGGATGGCTCAGAAAACAATGCTGTAGATCAGAGGTCAAGACCAGTAGAATAAGCAGGGACAGTAATACAAAGCTGACATTCCAGTTGTGTTTCTAAGGAAGGGGAGGCCAGGCTGGGATAGCAGGCTGCCTCCTCCTCTGCCTGGGTCACCTAGCAGATTAGACAGAAGAGAGGGTGCAGGAGCTTCTGGCAGGGGTACCCTGACTCAAGGGCACTCAGCCCCCACCCCAGTCTTAACAGAGGCGTCTGCCTGCATAATGCAGGCTTCAGAGATGCAAAGCAATGTCCCAGTGGGGGTCCTTCTCCAGGCTGGGAGGTAGGACAACTCTTCTGGCTTAGTCTCTAGCTTACTTTGCCTTCGGATCAGCCACTTCATCTCTTGGAGTATCAATTTCTCTGACTTACTCGGTCCTGATTGGTTGGGAAAGAGGCCTCTGAGTTCTTGAATTACAGTCTCTTCCCTTCGCATGTCTCACCCATTGTAGATAAGATGAAGGAACACGCGGAGCCAAGCTGGGTGAAGCCGAGGCTGAACTTGGCCCTGGTTCTCTCTGGGCTCCTTACAACTCTCCAGGCGGCCCAGCCGCAGGGCTCCAAGCCTGCCTGCTCTGGTGTTGTGCTTCCCTAAACACTTCTAGCCTGGGTGGTCCCTCCTGAGGCTCAGCGAGTGAATGGCCTCCGCCTGACCATGTGACCTCTGACTTCGTGGGGCTCAGGGGCTCTTTCTCGAGGGTCCCCAGGCACCTCGCATCCCTGTATGCCCTCGCTGGTCCTCTTGCAAAATAAGTCAGACTCTGACTGAGGGTTGGATGCTTCCTTCTCCCACAGGTAGGATGGGAGCACTGCCCTGTGTGCCTTTGAAAGAGGAGATAGCCCCAGCTTCCCAGGGAAGTCTCCGCGACTGCCCGGGTCCTGCCCCTCTGTCCCCGAGTGGAAAGGGAAGAGGAGCAGAGACGGAAGAAAGGCGGCAGCCAGGGGTGAGGGAGAACCTGGAGGAACCCCGGGAAGGAAAATGGAGGTACGCGGCAGCGCAGCTTTCCTCCTGCCTGGAGTTGGAAGCGATTAGTCCACAGGCGCCTTTTTCCACTGAAATGTGAGCGCCGCAAGGGTGAGTGCTGCCCTCATGGCCGTGAGCATCCGACTGTGCGCGCGCCTGTGTGTGCTGCTGCCGCTGTCATCACAGATGTACCCCCAGCTGTCACTCCGTCGCTGGGCTCGCTCGCGCACACGCACGCTCTCCTCCCTTACCCCTCGCTTCCCTTCCTCCTATCTGTCTCTCTCCGGCCCTCCCTCTTCCCTTCTCAGTTTGTTATTGACCCGGCAGCCCCATCCCCTCGTCCCCTGGCAGCGCAGCGCCGCGGGCTCTCCACCTCCTGCGCTGGGCGCTGTGTGCCAGCTCCCTGCTCCCGGCGAATCCCTCTCCAGCTTTGGAGCCCCCTGCTTGGTGGTGGTGTCTGCATTTGTAGCTGCCTGATCTAAGGGCTCAGGTCCGGAGAAAGGTGAGTGAGAGCGGCTGGTGGAAGGGATGGGGGTTGGCGGCGTTCTGGGTGACTGGGGCATGGGAACGGGGGACCATCTTTGCTGGGTCTCTTGGCCCTGTACAATTAGCGGCAGTGCCTCCTGGCTGGGCACTTGCTGGAGCTGGGCAAACTGCTTGGGACCAGACGCCTGGGCATCCCAAAGGTATAGAGCGTGGTAACTCCGACCCTACAGCGTGCTGGGGACATGAACTGTGCGTTCTGTCAGGGAGGGGGCAGGGAGGCAAGGAAAAGGGGAGGAGGGCAGTGCTGGTGCCAGATGACAGTCCCGGGTGGCATAGAAACCGGGTCCCTGCAGCATGAGGAGCAACAGCCTAGAGCCTGTGCTCTCTACATGCCGGCTCGGCGCAGGCAGCCCTGAGGAACTTGGGTGCTAAGGGAAGGGGTGTGGGACGGCAGCCCGCTACTGGTGATAGGACTGGTAAGAGGAAGGCCCGGGGTGGGGGCAGCAGCGCGGGGGACCACGCCAGGTGAGGCATGGAAGTAGACTCAGACTCACCCCTCTGTACAGGTTGCCCTGAGGCTGGGTTGCTGTCCTTCAGGTGGCTGTCCTTGGACAAGGGTGCACAGACGCCCTTTCCTGGCTAGACACTGGGTTCCCCAGCTGTGGCTGAAGCCTCCCTGGCAGGGGTGTGCCTGGGATTAACCTTGCAGCAATTCCTTGCAAGCCCCGGGCCCTGCTTCTAGCTCATCTGAGGGCCAGACAGGGAACCAGGCTCACAGGAACCCCTCGTGTTATCCCACGGCTGCATCCCCAGCCCTTTGCTGCAGGTGGTCAGATGCCTTAGCACGGCGGTGCACGCAGCTTAATGGGCCACAGGCAGCCGGGCCACATCTGCCTGGCTGCCGGGCCCCCGAGTTGGGCCAGGACAGTGGCTCTCAGTACCCCTAAGGCCCCTTTTGACAGTGCGGGATTCTGACCAAGAATCTGCAGTTCAAATTCCTGCAGGGCCAGGCAGGTCTAGGGCTCGGTTCCAACTGGCTGCTCTGCCCCCTACTCCCCAGCTGCCTGCATTTCCAGGGGAGGGGGGTGATGTTGGCACCAGGCTGTCAGGGCTTGCTGGGCACTGCCTTGTGTGATTCAGACCGACAGGCCTAAGCTTAGATAACTACCGCGGGTGGGGGAGGGGAGGAGCCGAGCACGTGGCGGTGGGCGGGGGAAGTCCAGCTGGTGGGGAAACCCAACAGCAGCTTCCCCGCCGCCAAGAAGCGCCCAGCACTTCCCACCCCCACCTCCCCACTAGCAGAAAGTCTCCGCACTGCCAAAAGAGGAGGACCAGGCAAGCCAGGCCCAGGGGTGGTGGCTGGGGAGGGAAAGGGACTTCTTAAGCAGCCTATTGGTTTCTTGGGGGCTTGGCTGGAAGCAGGGTCTGGGGCCCAGGGTGAGCTGGTCCTGTTCCTCTTTCCCAACGCCAGGGCTGAGGGGCCACAGGGGAGGGAAAGGGACCAGTGTACATGAAATGGCTGTGCATCTGGGGAGCTCCGAGGGTGGGGAAAGGAGGACCGGGGCAGAGGCGGGGTGGCCCCTCTCTGGGTCTCCTTTCTCCCGCGGCAGGTCAGGTCTCCCCTGCCCCTGCCCAGGGCCTCCGCTAGGGAACGGTGGGAGCCGGTTCCACAGCCTCAGCAGCCTGGCTCAGCTCACTCGCGTTGGAGAGCAGCTCCTGAGAGGGGTGACTGGGGGCTTCCCGCTCCCCACCCCCTCCGGGTCTGCTGGGGAGAGGAAACATCTGACAAGGCAGCGCAGGAGCAGGAAGTGGGGCTGAGAATGGGCAGGTGTTCTGAAGTGCGCCAGGAGGGCATGTGTGTGTTCCAAGAACAAATATAGAGAGTGTTAGAGTCTGCTTCCTCGCTGCCTGGGCAGTGTGTGTGGTGGGGGTGACGGGCAGGGAAGATATCTGGAGCGTTTCCTAGAAGGGCCCATGGCCAGACAGGTGGCAGCAGCCCAAGGGTCACGAGCAGCCTCCCTGGGGTCCTGTCCAGCAGAGGCCTGGGCCCCTTCCGCACAGGGTGCAGGTTGGCTTTCAGGGCTCTCACAGCTCCCCGAGGGAGGGCGTGGGGGCTGCCACCTTCGCCTCTCTGCAGAAGAGGGCGCACAGTAGACCGTGCAGGCCCTCCTGCAACTCAGGTCTCTGGGCCTGGGATGCTGAGGGGAGCAGAGGCCTTGTCGCAGGGGCGGGAGCACAGCAAGCCGGCACCCTAGCCCAGGAGTCTGGAGGCCTGAGGGGCACTAACTGTGTCTGACTTGGATACGTGACTTGAGAGACGATGACAGAGGAGCTCAGAGAAGGGCACAGACCCCAGGCCTGGCTGAGTTCGGTGGTTTCCAGCAGGAGTGAGCCAACCCCGTCTACAGGAGAGATGGAAGGGGCAGGTACCCCTGGCCCCCCGGGGCCCTGACCCTCCACAGTGAGTGAGCAGCAGCAGACTGTTCTAAACTAGGGGGCTGTGGCAGGCGTCCCGATGGGGAGGCTCCCTCTCCCGAGCCCCCAGGGGTGCAGCAGCCCACTCAGCTAGGCAGGCACACGGGGAGCCGCTGCCCCTCCTGCTTCATTACCCCCGCCATTCCTGTACCAGCCCCCGGAGCCCCCAGCCTGCCCCGCCTCACCTCAGCATCCAGCCCAGCCAGACAGGTGTCCAGAGCGGCCTCTCTGGACAGAGCTGAGCTCCCTAGGTTTGCCACCACCACTCCTGTGTCATGCCTGGATAGAGGGCGGTTGGGAGTAACCTGGCTTGTGTCTCAGCTCAGTGAGTGGCACAGCTTGTTTCTTCATGGGATCAGGGTACGAACAGCTGTCTTCTCAGCTCCAGTCAGACAGCGGATGCGGAAATGCCGTGTAGACTTACAGGTCTGCACAAACCTCCCTTCCTGTCTCTGCCGTCTTCCACCAGGAGCTCTACGCGCGCGTAGGTGAGGGAATGGGACAGACCCAGGAGCCCATGGGGCAACTGAGTCAGTAGCTTTGTTGCCAGACAGCTTGAGATCAGAACTATCTTCTTCCATTTACCTAAGTTTAGGCAAGTTGCCAATCACGTCTTGTGCCTCAGTAACCCCATCTGCAAAATGGCATTAATAATACTACTAACCTTAGAGAGTTGTGTGAGCATTAAGAACACTGGGTAGGTGTTTGTAGCCATTGTTTCTTTCCACACAAAGGTTTCCTGAAGGAGAGGCTAACATCAATGCCCTGGCCTCTGCCCAGGTCCCAGGTAGCTGCCCTGTGGATCCTCCAGGCTCACGTAGGCCCATGCTGGGCCTCCTGGGTGACTGTTAGGCCCCACGTGGGAGGAGCCAGCCTCGTGATCCTCAGACTTGAATATGCATCCAAAATATCTGGGATCTTGAAATGCACATTCTGGCTCTGTGAGCCTGAGTGGGACTCAAGACTGGGTATTTCTGAAAGACTCTCCGGCTAGCTGGCTGCTAGTACAGGGACCACGCTTTGCGTAGCAAGGGATAAGGTCAAACCTCAGGGGTTCCCCAGTTGACTGCATTTAGCTCCTCAGTCCCATTTGCTAATGAGGAAGACAGTGAGGGAGACCCCGGGACTGCACTGGGACCCCCCAGCTCCTTCCAACGGATCTGTCTCTGAGACTAGGACAAAACCAGGCAGGCATTAGCAACAGGTCTAGCATTCCAGGAGATGAGGCTGGGACACGAGGGAGCGGATCCTTCTAGCAGGCCCCTCATTTCCCACCCCGATAGGAACCCCCACCATTGTTAATTTCTCCCAACAGCGGGCCAGTGCTGCTCCCCCAGCTGCTCTTCAGCTTCCCAATCTAGGTCACCCCTTTCCTGAGGGTGCTCTGCTCCTCAGGGGTGGGGAGGGTCCTTTAGTTGGAGGTGTGGGTGGACACCGGGCCGAAGGGCTAGGAAGTGCTGGTTCCCCTCCATCCCCTTGAGGCTGGAAGGCTCTGGTACCCAGTGGGAAGCCCAGGGCCCAGAGAGGCTGGGCCAGCAACCCAGAGAGCACAGGGGGTCACCTTACAGACTTGGGGCTTTGTTTTCTCACATTTCTGCGAAGCACACCTGTCAGCAGTGTCCTGCTGCCTCGCTAGACCACGCCATGGGTCTGTCACAGGGCCTTGCCTGTCGTGTTTTGTGCATAGGGCATCCTGTGCAAGGGTGGGGATGGGGTGTGAGGCCCTGCACTCAGGCCACCTTTTCTGCTGAGTGGCTGTTTGCTGGTGGACCCCAGGTCTCCTCAGTGGAGACCCGAGGAGGTGGGCTGGGAATGAAGAACCTATCAGGACAGGCAGGAGTCTCAGGAGGAAGTGGGGTCTGAGCGTGTCTGGGAAGGTCAGTCCATGGCCCGTGCCCCATAGGGAGGCGGAAGGAGTCGGAGCCAAGGCTGGACTGGCTTGCTGGTCCCCCATGGCCTGAGCGTGGCAAGTGTCTGGGGTGAGGGCCTGCCCTGTGGGGTTCTCCCCAGCTCTTCCTTCTAGGTGGGAAGGGTCCTGCTGCATCTGTCTGCTGGGGACATTTGAGAACTTTGAGGCATCTGTCTTTGCTGTGTCTGAGAAGCTCTGAACTACTGCCAGCAAGGCGTGAGTGTGCGTACGTGTGTGCGTGGGTGTGCATGTGTATGCACGTGTGCTCGTGCATCACGCATGTGTGCGCGCATTCTAGCACATGCCTAGGCACACAGCTCTCCGTGAGGGTGTGTTTGCATCCCATGCTGTGTGTGGCGCTCCGAGCACGTGTCTGGGAGGCCAGTGGGCGTGAACTCTGCTCCGTGCACACATTAGTATTTCCTCATAAGGGCCACTGCTCGATGATAGTTGCTGGGGAGTGGACGAGCAGCCCGACTCAGAAGCCTACCATACAGTCCCTGACTTTCCGTGCGACCCTGGGCAAACCACTTATCCACCCTGTTGCTTGGGTGGCCGCTGACCTGCCTACTGCTTCACAGATGGAATGAGTGCTCCACGTGAGGGCTTCTGATTGAGTCCTAAGGGTCAGGGCTTGAGGGACACAGAGACAGTGGACACCGCTGTCTGTGAGGACTGTGTGGGTGGGTGTAGCGCATACTGAATGCAGAGAGCATGCAATGCAGTGAGCACCACGTGACAGTCCCCAGGCTGAGGGTAGTGGGAACAGATAAGAGCGATGTTGCATAATCTGCCACTGCTCCCTCCCCGTGGGGGAGGCACTGGTGTTTGCTCGCACTTATGGGCTCAAGTCCAAGGGAGGAGCATTCACCTAAACCTCTAAGGTGATGTACGCTTGGTTTACGTTAACCCTCAAATCCCACATGAAGTATCAAGGCCATCACCTTTAGAGATAAGGAAGCCGAAGCCTGAGAGTTTAGCAGCTTGTTTGAAGGAGTGGCCAGACGGGGATTTGAGCCCAGTCTCCCCACCTGTGAATCCGAGCCGGGAGCCTGCCGGTCCTGGCCCTGAGAGTGGATTGGAGATTGAAACCCAGTGGCCTAACCGCTGAGTGCTTGGGATTCACTGAGGAGGCTGCGTGAGGACCAGGTGCCCCATACTCCACATCTGTGCCCGGTCCCAGTGACTTGCTCTGCCAGCCCTTGCTGCACCCTTCACTAAATGGAAGAAGTGGGGGAAAGACAGAGCCGAGACTGATGTGCACCCTGCTCCTGGGCCTGCTGATCCTGAGGTCCCAAGTGCACAGGACATCATGGTGGCCTCCTGAGACCACTAGAGGTGGGAGGAGGGTTGGGAAGAGAAGGGGGGCAGTAGGGGACAGAGGCAGCAGGAACCTCAGCGGGACCCCAGTGTCTGAGGGGAACCTGCACAGGTTGCAGCTGACTTCTGTACTGACCACTCCAGGGTCCAGGAATGCCATCTATTTCTGAGTGGTCAGTCCCACCCTGCCCCTGGCACTCACACCCCCAGAATCAAACAGGCCTATGGGAGGCTGGAGAGGGAGGCTGCAGCAGGAATTACCCTGGACCATGAATTTGGTAACCATGGAAGGCCAAACTCTAGGAGGGTCTCAACCAGGGTTGAGAGAACCATGCCCTTTGGGCCCTAGGAGGGAGCTCAGGGACCAGCGTAGTGAGCTGTAGGATGGCATCTGGCCCTCTGATGGGGTTGGCAGGGTGGAGGCTCTGGCTTGCTATGTGGCTTATAACCACATCTGGAAGGAAGTGGAGATGCAGATGAGGCCTGCGTCCCATTTAGGAGACGGGGTGGGGTGGGAGGGTGGGTTGGGGCAGAACCTAGAAAGGGTGAGTTTCCCCAGGAGGAACCCGGGTCTGCTCCCAGCCCTCTTGATCTCCCCTGTCTTCTGGGTCTGTCCTTCCTGTGCCAGAAGCTGCTGCAGCATGAACCCCTGAGCTGATGAGTTTTATTATAGACCGGCTGGTGGAGGACAGAGCATTGCACTTCACCTCCAAGGCCGAAGCAGGGGGTTGCCTGGTGGCCCACACCTGACTGACCTGCTGGCAGACACTGCGACAGGTCTGGTTTCCTTCCTGGGGCCATGGTAAGTGAAGGAGGGGGGCGGCAAAGCTGGGACTGGGTGTAGCTGGGGAAGCGAACAGCACAGGTGAGGGCTGTGTGCTGGGACCTCACTCGGCTCATCTAGGAGAGACACGCCTCAATTTCCCCACTGTGGTGTGGGGCAGCCCAGCCAAAGGACACCACACTGCGAAGCAAACATTTTAGAGATCGCCACTTCAGAGCAGCAACAAGAACAGGCAGAGACAGGCAGGGGTACGGGCAGGGGAGGGGGCGGGTGAGCTCATCTGGCAATGCCTGCGTCCTCCAGCTCCACGCCTGGGCTAAGGGTGCTTTGGAAGTCTGAGGCTGGGCCCGTCATCCCAGGGAGGTAGAAGGTTTCCTGGTTTATCTCTTTCTGCCCCCTTTATTTCTCTTCTTCCACTCACCCACGCAGTCATAGCTGAGAGGAACAGGAGAGGGAACGAGGAGTGTAAAGAGACACCGGGCCCTCTCCTTAACCCCTGGGCTGGAGCAGGGCCCTGGATGCCCGCCTCCGCCCAGCACGTCTCTCTCTCTCTCTCAGGACTGACAAGCAGCACACACCAAGGGGCACCTCTCTGCCCGGAGCTGCGGAGAGCTCTGAGTTCACCATGCTGGCGCTGGGCAGTGGCCTTGAGCCGAGGACCCGGCAGATCTCCTGTGAGTACCTCTGGGCCCCGAGAGGGCACGCTGGGCTAGGGTGGGAGCTGGCATGGTGTGGAGTGGAGTTTCTTAGGCTGTAAGGAGATCGAATACTGAGTTTCCTGAGATGCCCAAGGCCTGGTTTTGGGAAATTAGGCTCGTGCCCATAATAAGAATGATAAGGCAACCAAAGAAATGCACTGCTGAGCACTTTAGTGGTTAAACCAGGAGCTGTAGGCCATGACATTGATTCTGGCTCCCCAGATGAGTCTGTTGTATCCTTCCCCAAACTGTGAGTTCCCTGATAGCAAGAGAAGAGCTCTGCTGGAGAATGGCTGGGCTTCCTGAGTTTCAGATAGAACTGGTGCTGGCTGAGTGTGTCCAGCATGGGTTTGGCAGGCCATGCCTGGAACTTGGCAGGAAGTTGGCCCCACCCCAGCCACCAGCTCAGCGCAGGCTCTCCCGGGGAGCTGCCCTCCTGCCTCCCCTTGAGCCCTGAATGGATGGACCTGCTCATAGACAGCTCATAGACAGCTCATAGGCTCTTGACGTCCCTCTCCCCAGCTCCTGAGTTCCATGGGGTGTGAGTTGGATCTCTCCCAGCTCTGCTCATGGACACATGGAGGCACGAGTGTCGATGCCAGCCTCCCTGAAGGTTGTCAGGTGACAAGAGCACGCTCTCCACCTGAGGCAAAGGGCCAATGTGAACCAAGCGCTGGTTTGCCCGAGCCTACGCGGTAAGAGGCAACAGTGGCCTGAAGGGACGATATTCTGCGGACTTCTCCCTTGTTTCCCTCAGCCTGTGCTCCGGCTGCCCCCTGGCATGAGCAGCCTGAATTATTTACCACGTGAGAGTGGCTGCTCCCAGCAACCCAGATCCCTTTCAACCTCATTGTAGGATCACTCAACACCTCGCAATAGAAGATGATGTTTTCTTGTCACTAGAGCTTTCTTTTATGCTACCCTGAATTTCTGGGGAGGGAGGAAAGGACAGGAAGTGTGCTTTTCGAAATGCGCTCTCCTTGTCCCGCTGCAGTTCTCTCTCAGAGGGGAGGATGGTGGTTTCCACTTATGCTCATCCCTTTGAGCGGGGAGCTGGATAAATTGAACACCCCTCCCCCAAGGTAAAGCCTGAATAATGTTGATGATCAAGTAGCATGGGGGAGGGCATGAGGCAGGACCGCCTGGCAGTGGACGGGCACAGAGAAGTGAGAGGGCAGGAGGTCACGGCAGGTGACCCCAGAGCCCAGAGAGTTCTCCCGTTGGTTTCTGTGACTAAGCCAGTGCTCATTACCCACTAAGAAGAAACAGGCTAAGGTGTCAGCCTAGCAGTGTGCCTCTGGGCTGTCACCGTTCCTCCGGGGGGGAGGGCAGTGCCGCCCTGCTCTGCCAAGTCCTGCGCTTTGGGATATCAGATGACTGGGCACCTACCAGACAGAGACTCAAGACTTCTCCACCCGGGCACCCAAATATTCAGGTGCATGTGGATGGGCCAGCTGGGTCTGCCCATCACCCATTTCCCAGCCAGGATCTTTCCTTGGCTTGGTGGAATTGGCTCAGTGGGGTGGAAATGTTTTGAGCTCATCTTTTTCCCTTTCACAGTGAGCAGGCTTCCCGCTATTAGGAGAACAGTCAGGGAGGGTTTTGAAATCACCCCTGGAGAGGGCTGCTCCACGCTGGAAGGAGATGCTGTGTTTCACTGTCCTCGGAGGGGCACCTCCCCCAGTTCTGCCAAGATTGGACTCCCTGTGTGCTATTCAGAGGGGTCTTGGGCAAAAGGCGGGTACGTGAAGGGCATTCTGTTAATTGGCCCATCATGTGGAAATGCTGCCCAGCAGCGCCCAGGAACAGAAGCCAGGGTAAGAGGATGGTGGCTTTAGTGTAAGAATCGGGGTGGAACCTGTCCTGGGCCGCAGGGCTTGCCGATGTTAGACTGTGTTTTGCACCTTATCCTTGTCATTCCCAGAGTGCTCTTTGGAGTATGCCCAAGTGGGCCTGGCTCCTAAGTTTCACACTAAGCTACTGCTCCTACTTGGATGTGGGGTTCAGGTAAATGGGACAGCATCTGGGAAGTTGTAAGGGAAGAGTGAACAGCACCCTTCTACCATCTCCCCTGTCCACGCAAGCATGGCCCAGCCTTGTACAGCTCCCGGGTGCACTGAAGTGCAGTGGGGAAAGATCAGCAGCATAGCCACTGTCTCTTGGAAAGAAAGAATCTCTCAGTGGGATAGGAACTTGGGGGCAGGTTTCTCTGATGTCCTCCTGTCTTTTACTTTGCCAACATTTATGGTGTCAGGAGACTCAAGCTCCCATGGAAATCCACCATGGGTGGCCCCTTGGTAGGGACATCATTGTCACTGTGGACCGGCATGGCTTGTCCTCTGGGTTCAAGCCTGTGAGTCAGTCACTCTACTAAAGTGATTTCTTTGTCTGAAGTGCAGTGAGGCGAGGACCTGCCGGCGCTGTGTGATGTCCATTAACATAGAAGTGTCTTAGGACTTGTTAATTACCTTTTTGTGTGGTTAATAAGCGGGCACTGATTGTGGCTTGTGCCAGAGGAGATAAAGCCAACAGGCCATTATGATGTGGACTGGGAAGGAGGGAACAGACATGGGGGTGGTAGGTCCCAGCCTGTTGCTTTTCCTCACCTGTCTGCCTCTCCCCCAGGGATCACTTGCTGGATCGCTCTCTATGCTGTGGAGGCCCTCCCCACCTGCCCTTTCTCCTGCACCTGTGACAGCCGCAGCCTGGAGGTGGACTGCAGTGGCCTAGGCCTCACCACAGTGCCCCCGGATGTGCCCGCAGCCACCCGAACCCTCTTGCTCTTGAACAATAAACTGAGTGCCCTGCCAAGCTGGGCCTTCGCCAACCTGTCCAGCCTGCAGCGGTTGGACCTGTCCAACAACTTCCTGGACCAGCTGCCCAGCTCTGTTTTTGAGGACCTGGCCAATCTGACAGAGCTGCAGCTGCGCAATAACAGCATCAGGACCCTGGACAGGGACCTGCTGCAGCACTCCCCTCGACTCCGCCACCTGGACCTGTCCATCAACGGCCTGGCCCAGCTGCCTCCGGGGCTTTTCGATGGACTCCCTGTTCTTCGCTCCCTCTCACTTCGCTCCAACAGACTGCAGAGCCTGGACCGGCTGACATTCGAGCCCCTGGTGAGCTTGCAGCTATTGCAGGTCGGGGACAATCCCTGGGAGTGTGACTGTAACCTGCGGGAGTTCAAGCACTGGATGGAGTGGTTCTCCTATCGAGGTGAGCTCAGGGGCTTTGGTTAAACAGAAGTGGCCCGGGCCACCCTGGCTGGAGGCTTTATCCTGAGAGTGGGATGAAGTCTGGGGAAAGACGGGGTGACTGCCTTACTACCAAGCAGGCAGGAGGAGTCATCTCCCTGAGATGAGGAGCTGTTGCCCTTCCCACCAGTAAGGGAAGAGGCTGTTCTCCTCTTCCCTTACTGCACCCCTTTCTGATCTGTGTTCTCACTTTTTGCAGCCTCTTTTTCTCTTCTCTTTTTCTTTAAGTCACTTTAAGGGTTTGCTGTAATTTGATCCCACTTTTGTAGGTTTTGTAGGTTTAGTAAAGTTTTTTTTTTTTAAAAACATAGGATGCTTTGTTTTTTGAGCTCTGCATCCCACCAGGTAGTATTTTTGCCCTTGGACTCTCCTGGTACCTTTTTCCAAATAAAACAGCCACCTTTTAAGTATCTATCCCTCTAGGAGTGTGAAACGTAACTGAAACCAACAGATACAACCAAATTTTCCTTTGGATGACAAAGCTGGCTTCTCCTTCCAAGAAGTTTGCTATCAAAACTGTTACTAAGTCAAATGGTTTTAGCTTTACCTTCTTTCCCTTACCCCTCTTTTTAAAAACCTGGTAAAACCCTGAAATGATCTGTGAAATGATCAAATGAAATGCAAAGAGAAGGAATAACTGAGCACAACTTTTTTTTTTGGGGGGGGGTAAGGAATAGAACTCAGGACCTCATGCTTGCCAGGCAGGCGTTGTGCCACTGAGCTACATCCCCAGTCCCCAGACGCAGGTTTGAATTTTGTCCCTGTTACCCACTAGTTGTGTGACCTTGAGAAAGTTGATTAACTTCTCTCAGCTACAGTGCATTATCTGTTAAATGTGGGGAAAAGCAGTGCCCATCTCATGAGGTCATTATGAGGATTAAATAAAGTAATACATGTAAGGTATCTAAGGCACCTGGCATAAAGTAAGCCCTCTGGGGCTGGGGATTTAGCTCAGCGGCAAAGCGCCTGCCTGGCAAGTGCAAGGTCGTGAGTTCGGTTCCCAGTACCGGAGAAAAACCAAAAAAAAAGACAAAAAAAAAAAAAAAAAAGTAAGCCCTCTACAAAACATTCATTTACTTGCTCATTTGCTAGTAGTACTCATAAAATCAAGAGCACTTGATAAGCCACAGTTTGGATCCCAGCACAGAATAGATATTTGCTGAATGAATCAACATCAAAACTCTGAAAATAATGCGAACACTTTTCATTAGTCTTACTATTTTCATTTCCTATCCAGCTACTAACTCAATTATTTCCATGTTATCCTAATGCTTTAATGAAAATATTTTACAAACGATAAAGTACCATGAAATGTTAGTCACTATAATTTCTCCCATTTTTGTGAGTGGGGAAATCATGATTAATACTGTTGTATAGTTTCCAGTGTACAAATATCTGTTCCTGCACGTTGTCTATTTTAATCTCTCTGGCAGCTCACTGAGGTAGGCATTCTTATTTTACCACTAAGAAAAATAAGACTCAGAGGTAATTAAGTAATTTTCACAGGATGATGAAGCCATGTTTCAACCTTGGGTCTCCTGAGCAGGAAAATGAGGTCACTTCCTTCGCAGTGCCAGCTCTTTGTCATGTACAAGGCCATCGGCCAAGATGGCCTGCGTGTGTGTTCGCTGGGTTCAGTCTGGTTGTAGCCCACCCAAGTGGTCAGTGGCCCAGGGAGCTAGAAATCGGGTGTGTGAACACACTGCTGTGTCACCCTTGAATGACATCCTTGCCCTTCACACCATTATCAGAGACTGAATGCCTAGGATGAGAATGTGCATTTTCCAGGCATTTTCAATAGCAGATTTGTTTTCAGCTTTGCATTTCTTTAAAAATAAAAAATCCCAGAATGTTTTTGTCAGCATCCCAGGGTAAGATTGATATCTATTGTATGAGGAGACAGGGCAGCTGGGCCAGGAGAGGGGGCTGCAGTGATGGAGTGGCTGGAGCCGAGACACTGCAGCGGGGTGTCTATTGCTTGCGTCTAGACTTCACGGGAAGCTGACAGAAAGCCAAAATCCAACTCTCGCTTCCTAGAGGACTTCTCAGCAGAGTATTGTTCTCAGCTGCTGTCTCTCTCACCCTGCCGCAGTCCTGCACTTATATTCCCTGTGAGCCTGCCTGGCCTCACATTGTTATGAAGACCGCGTGGCGTATCTGCACCCCCTCACCGCCCACACAGCCGCCTCCTGGCCTTATGCGTCTCCCAGGTCCCTTCCGAGCTGCTGTTGCCTGAACACCCCTGGGTAGGGGCGCTGATGGGGCCACAGATTGTTCCTGACAGGAACCGGCATAGCTGTTGCTCAGATTTTCTCTCCCTACTTCAAGGTAGAATTCTCAGGCAGCCAAAAGTCCTGTTTGGAAGACTGGGGCCTGAGGCAGTGGCTTTCGACTGCTGTCTTTTTTGTGAGAAGCAAGAACCTTGGAAGGACAGGATGCTGTGCCGCAAGCATTGTCCTGGGTTCGTGGACAGGTGATGAGCAGGCGGCCTCAGGGGCAGAGAAGCAAACTGGAGCCTCGGCAGGGCTGTGACTCTGCATTGCAGCTCTTTCCTGAGCCTCTCCTCTACACTGTCACTGTCATCCTCCATAGCTCAGGCGGGGTTCACTGAAACGGTTGTGTGCTTCTCTATGTAATGGAAATGTGATAATATCCATTTTCTATAGCTTCTGTAGGGAGTAAGTAACATGAGGTGTATAACTTCTCCACCGAAGTGCTTGGCTGTGCTGGTTCCTTTACCCTTCCTTGTCTATAGACAGTGATTTGCAGAATTGACTGCATTGGACTACACCTTCTGGGCCTACTGTTTGGGGGGGTCTGGGGATGAGGAGAGACAGCTCAGGTTCTTGATGTCTGCTCAACCACTCCTTTTAGGGGGACGCCTGGACCAGCTTGCCTGCACCCTACCCAAAGAGCTGAGGGGGAAGGATATGCGCATGGTTCCCATGGAGATGTTCAACTATTGCTCCCGGCTGGAGGATGAGAACAGCTCCCCTGGGCTCGATGCTCCTGGGCCACCCTGCACCAAGGCCAGCCCAGAACCTGCCAAGCCCAAGCCCGGGGCTGAGCCTGAGCCAGAGCCCAGCACAGCCTGCCCTCAGAAGCAGAGGTACAGGCCGGTGAGCGTGCGGAGAGCCATTGGCACGGTGATCATCGCGGGAGTTGTTTGCGGCATCGTGTGCATCATGATGGTGGTGGCCGCGGCCTACGGCTGCATCTATGCCTCGCTCATGGCCAAGTACCACCGGGAGCTCAAGAAGCGCCAGCCCCTGATGGGGGACCCTGAGGGTGAGCATGAAGACCAGAAGCAGATCTCTTCTGTGGCCTGAGAGCCCGCCTGCCTGGCCCAGGTAGGCAGGGTAGGGAGAGCACAACGGGGCTTGCTCTGGAAAGGCTGGTCCTTCCCCTCCATCACAGTCCCTGCCTCGGCTTGACACTGGCCACTGCCTGTCCCAGTTCCTTCCAGCCCTCCAGCAGACCAGCCACGGTATGGTCATCTCCATGAACTTCCAAGTCTCCCTGGAGGTCGCCATTGTGCTGAAGGCTCCTGTGGGTGCTCCTCTCTGGCCACCAAACCTTTGGAGGACTCTCCTGGAACTTCTGGCCACGGGGATGAAAAGATGTGTACGCAAGAGGAGCCTTGTCACAGCTGGGTGACTCTTCCTACCTCTTGCTCATTCATTTCCACTTCAACTGCATCTCGGGGTTGGGGAGTAAGGGATATGGGGGCCAAGGATAGATTTCTGTGGCTCTTTTTTTTTTTAACTAGAAAGATATTCTTAACCCCCCTGCAGTGGAACGCTGGGTCCAACTTCCAACAGTGTACTAATGTGCAAACACACCAACCTGTAATCTGGACCTAGTACTTAGAAATACAACGCTGTGATTACAACATCCTCCCTTGGCAATGCCAGTATGTCCCTGGGTCTGCTATAGACCACACTGACCATAATAGTTCCGGCTTCCTCACTTTCACACACACTCGGAACACCACCATCACAGTCACATAGATTGAAATCTCCCACACACACACTCACACACTCACACACTCATAGAGTTCAGTGGAGACAGGTAGGGGTCTCCTTGAATCCCTGGCCCTGAGACCACAGAACCTCTTGCTTCCTGACTGCAGTCTTCTCAAGTCCATTGGCCGGGGGGAGAGGATCCTAAATTGGTAACATGGGGTTCCTTTGAGATCCTGTAAAGTGGGCCACAGTGGTGCTGCTGGATGAGCCTGCCCGTCACCATGGCAACCTGCTCACACCTCCCCTGCTGGGTTTTCCAGGGACTGGCCCAGAGGCCCAGAGGCTGCTGCCTCTGTGAATGGCAGCCTCTTGAGAGCCCAGCCACATATTCGGGGTGTTTCCTCTGAGCTGCCAGGTTTGTCCTCATTGCCAGGCCCCAGGGAGCACCCTCCACTTTCAGCCCTGTAGGCTGCGGCCTCGGCTCTGCCCCTCTGCACCTCCCACTCCCTCCGTCCCCAGCATCTTCTGCCTGTGACCTCAGGGCTGGGCCTGGGCTGTGCTGTGGTCCTCCTTGGGGAAAGCAGGTGGCAGGCAGATGGCAGAGTGGTCCTTGAAGAGGCTCACTGCTCAACACATTGCTACAGACGCCAGGGGCAGGAAAGGACCACCACATTCCGTGCAGAGGCCTCAGCGCTGAGATTTCCTTCTTGGGTGAACATGGTGGTTTGTTTGCTTAATAGGGCTTCTAATTGCAGCTGGACTGTGGTCCAACTCAGAGGGTGGTCCAGGGACAGAGACACCTGCCCCCAGTCAAGTAGGTTTCAGGGTATTTGCCTCCTGTTCGAGGCTGCCCCCTCCTTAGGAGTCTGATGTCTGGTGAGTACCTGGGTCTCGCTGCTGCTGGACCCCACTTTGAAGGTATCAGAGCAGGACAGGGCAGGTCCTGCTGGCCTGCTCCTCCCAACCCTCCCTACTCAAAGGGGGGGTGGTGGATGGGGTGCATGGAGAGCCTTTAAGAAGGTCGTCTCCAGCAGGTGGACAGAGGGCCCCTTGGCAGGCTGCTTATCTGGATTGCATGCCCCCTTGGCTAGGGGCACAGTCTTCCTTTCCCTTTGGGCTTGTAGGCTGATACCAGATCTGGGAGTTTTCTAAAGGGACTGGGGGCGGGGAGGGAAGGGTGTTGTCAGTGGTGGTATCTTTAGCCTGAGGCAGAAGATTTTTAAAGGCAAAATTATATTTCTGGTTTGTTGTTTCAGAAGACCAATAAAGACTGTATTTTCCTATGTACTTCCTGGCTTCATTGGGTGGGAAGGGGATGTAGGTGTTGGGAAAATCACTTCCTGCCCCCTCACCGCCCCACGCAGTGGACACCGTGCTGAGGGGCGTCACTGTGATGCACAGGGCTCCGTGTGACAGATGGGCGCCCCCTGCCCAGTGCCCCGGGACCCAGGTTGCTGATAGGAGAGCAGAGGAGGCAGCATTCTGGAAAGGATAAGGCTTGGCAGCTTGGGCGGAAGCTGGGGGCATGGCTACGCTGGAGTCTCAAATCTACCCACGCTGCGGCCTGACATCTGGAAGCATAGGCCTCAGGCTGGGTTCCCTGGGCAGCGCTGGGACTTGTGAAGGTGGGCTGGAGACCCTGCTATAGCTCCATGCCCTGGAGTGCTTACCCACCCTGGCTTGATGGAATTAATCCTGCCAGCCAAGGACAGATGGATCAGTGCAGCAGGAGGCCTCTGTTTGCCCAGAGGATCCGCTGGATGCTGGGAGGTGAGGGAGGAGGGTTCAAGGGGCTTCTCTGCTGCCTGGGTTTTGTGAGCCCTGTTTGCTGGAGTCCCACTTAACCCTTTCCCATGGTGGCCTTCCAAGGCTGTTTGGTACAAGCAGACCACACTTAGCGTCCACAGGTATGATTTCCTGGACAGAGCTCGCCGTGAGGGGATCAGAATGAGGGACTGGAACGAAAGGGCCCTGAGACCGGTAGTCCAGGTCTGTGGGCAGAGCAAGGCTCACTGCGTAGTCACGTGTGTCTGGGGTATAGCGCTCCCTGATGTTCAGCGATTAAGATAGGTTCTCTCCTGCCAGGAGCCTTCCTGCAGAGGACAGTCCAGCAAGCCGGGGCAGAGCCCAGTGAGAAGAGATCCATCAGGCCCCCATCCCTGGAGTTCAGCTTAGCTCCACAGCAGGACTGGGTTGTCCTCCTAGGTGGGGTCTGGGTGACTGTTGCCCTCCTCTAGTCCTGAAGGTTGTGGCAGACCCAAAGACGGACTGGTCTTCCCAAGCCCCACCTCAGAGGCAAGGGCAAAGCTCGAAGGGCCGCCATAGGTCTCTGTAATGTAGACTCCTGTTACTCGATCATCACGGTTCCCAGAGGGAGCCCCGCAGAGGTCAGAAGGCCAGGCCCACATTTAGGCAGGGGTGAGCTCAGGCAGCTCTGGACAGCAGGAAATGGCTCTCTGCTGGGGCGGGAACATGCTGCAAGTCAGTGGCTGGAGAAACGTAGTCTGCCTGACCCGGCACCACCACCGCTGTGCTGGATCATACTCCCCAACCAGGGCCTAGAGGACACTGAGAGCTAGAAACTGATCCTGAGCGGAAGTTGTATTTCTAGATCTTTTATGGGAGCTCTTGAAAAACCACCTGCTTGGAGACAGCAAGGATTCCCCCTTACCCACCCGCCTTCGGTGTAAGCTGTGGAATTACCCGAAAGGGACACACAGAGTACGGCTCTGACTCCGAATGCCCTTCTGCCTTCCCTTGCTTGCTGTGCAGCCTCACGGTGCAGCCCCCCTCATAAACCTTGCCCCCTCCTGAGCTCCCAGGGTCCGCAAACAAGCCGCCTGCTCCTCCCTGACCAACAGCCCCAGCTGGCCCCAGGGTCGGGGAGGCTGAGCCCTAGGCCAGAGAAAGGAAGTAACAAAATGAGATTTAAAAAAAAATTGCAGCGTCAGGTCTCTGGAGCCTCATCCTTTTCCCATCACATCCGCGCACCCCAGAGCAGCAGAGTGACTATCTGCAGTGCGTTAAATTAGAGGCTCTGGGACACGGTTTCTATAGTAACGCCTCACGGCTCTAATTCAGCCCTGAGTTAAAAATGATATCGAATAATTGGAGAGTGCTGGGAAAGCACAGGAAGCGGCCCGGTCCTTAGACCCGGTCTCTCCCAGGCCTTGGGGTGTACAGGTCGGGGAGCAGGGTGGACACAGGCCCGGCTGGGACCACAGGAGGGCCTTTAGCAAGATAAGTTTGAGGTCATGGCCTGGAGAGCAGTTGGGGACTAGTGTGCTGTCGGCTAAAGGGAGAAGGGTGCTGGGATGCCTTGCGTCTCTACTGAATACTGTTAGGACCCTAGGCCGGAATTTCCTGCAGGGGCTGCCCCGTCGCTGATGACTCAGCCATTCTCTTCCCGTCTCTTATCCTGGGATGCTGACTCAAGACAGCCGTGAGCCCTCTCTGAGGCAGAAAGACAGAGCCTATCCTGTTCCTTCCAGCCCTCTGACCCGAACTCAGCCAGAGCAAGTGGCATGCGGCCCCTGCCTGCCCAGCTCAGCCTGGGGGCAGAGGCCTCTCATTGGCCAGTACCCTGGGATGCGAGACAGACACTACCTACTAGTCATGATCCTAATGCCACGATTGCTGAGTGACCAGTAGATCGCACACACCTTTTCAGAACACAGCTGGGGAGGCACATGGAAGCTGAAACCAGGATGAGGAGGGCTTCCTCAGAGGTCTGAGAGTTTTTGAACAATAAGACAGAAGTTCCAAGGATTTTTTTAGGCACCAAGAAGGTACAAAGTCAGGGGAAACTTGTGAGGGTCATTGGCTATCTCATCCCATTACTTGGAGCAACCTGAGGCAGAAGGTGGTGAACTAGGGCTTGAAAGAAACACAGTCTGAGTTCTAACCCTAGGTTCATTATTACCTGTGGAATCTTGGCCCAATAACTTTTCTGTGTCTCAGTGTTTTCATCTGTAAAATGGGGCCCTAAACTATCACCTCCTTTGGGTCTTCCAGAGACTAGTAGGAAGTCCTCAGGAGATGGTTTCCATGGGATGTGGTACAGATTGAATACACACATTGAGTTCTTGCTTTAGGGATTTGAGTCACAAGCTCAGTTCTTGAACCCAAGGTTTCGAAAGAGGGCAGCAAGAGGGAAAGGGTAGGAGGAGGGTCGGGGTTGCAGTCTATGACCTATGTGACCTTGAGCAGATTTCTTAACTTCTCTGGGCTTCCTTTCATTTTGTTTTGTTTGAGATAGGGTCTCGCTATGCAGTTTAAGCCAGCCTTGAGCTCACTTTGTAGCCCAGGCTGGTCTTGCACTTGCAACGATCCTCCTGCCTCAGCCTCCCGAGTGCTGGCATTACAGGTGTGCGCCACCACGCCTGGCCCTGGGCTTCCTTTTCCTCATTTCACAAATTCTTTGAGCTCTAGGATTTTGTAAACAAAATGGTTTAGGAAGATTTCACTTTCCTCCTCAGCATTCACCTAGGACAACTTGCAGCTAGAGACTGATGCTCAGCACGTCCCACTCAGGGGCCCTCCTGCTGTGACCGGGGGCCTTATTCTTGCCATATTCACAGCTCTTGGGCTCCAGTGGCACATGGGGCGGGTCCTACCTGCAGCAATGGCTGCCTTCTCCTCCACCGTCACGGCTACCGCGGTGCTCACTGTTACGGAAACTGGCGTGCCCGTGCCGTCTGGGGAAATGAAAATTACAGTCACTTTCTCAGTTTCCAGGAAGGAGCAGTGGCTGGGATAAGCTGAGCCCTGGTCCCTTCTTGGAGCAGACGATAACTGTCACTAGCAGGGTAGACGTCCTGGCGTGACTGTGTTTGGTTGTGCACCTGTGACAGGCGGGTACCACCCTTAGGAGGCCCTCGCTCTGCCCACCTGTCTATGGGGTGTGTGCTTGCCAGATTGACACGGGGCCTCTGGCTGCCTGCACAAAGTGATACTGTCAGGGGCATTATGACTGTGATTTTTGCTCCACCTGTCCTTCTGCCCCTGTCTGCTTGAGGGGCCAGCAGAGTCAGGCCCAGGATCTACGTTGTGTCCCTCAAGGGCAGGGACAGGGTGCCCTACAGGCCTGGGTGCCGAGTGGCCCTGGATTGCCCACAGTGAGTCACCACAAGTCAGAGGTGACGCTGAGCCACCCAGGCTGTGTGAGAGGCAGCGGTGTGCTAGTGGGCTGCTCACAGCAAGGGCAGCCCCCTGGGGAGCAGACTCAGCCCACCAGGCCCAGGCAAATGGCAGTGGTGTCAGCTGGAGGGACAGGAGTCCCACTTACCCTGGAGTCAGCGCCTCCCTTCTTTCCCCCTGAGCCAAGCGAGGGTGCCACAGGGGGCGAGCTTGCCATCCCCCACACCCCCCTCCGCAGGTTGCCAGCTTTCCTCCCCTCCTGCAGTCCAAGCTGCACTTGCCACCCACCCACCCTCCTACCTCACCAACACACAAAGCTCCCCCAGCAGCAGCAGCAGCAGCAGCAGCAGCAGGCACAGCCTGGGTGACAGTGCAGGCAGGAGAGCCTGGCACCACAGCCTGGGGCAGAGCCTAGGGCCTCACCTGGAGAACCTTCCCAGGAGGCCTTTGTGCAGGCCATAGAGGAAGAGCTGCCTCTGCCTTGGTGCAGGCAGTGTGGGGAGGGGACCTTCGCCTTGGCTTTGAGAGGCTCCTCCTGGTCTAGCAGGGGAGTAGAAGCACCCTTTCCTCTTCCCTCCTGCTGCCTTTCACTTAACGCGGTGAAAGAGCCCCTGCTTTGGTGAGGACAACCTGTTCCACTCCGCCCTCTGGATCCCTTGCTATGCGCACAGAGAAGACCCTCTCTGAGCTTCAGACTCTGCTCACGTAGGATGAGGGGTAACAACATTTGTGTCAGGAGCTTGTGAAGTTTGAATGACTTATAGGCTGGGAAAAGCACACTTGTCATGCTGTGTGGGTGGCGGGAGCTGGCGCAGGGTAGAGGGGTGAGCAGGGCACAGGTGAGGACACCTTCCAGAGGGCACCGAGCAGAGTTCATCCTTGCTGTCGGTCTCCACCGTTTGCAGCTGCCAGGAGGAGCCTCCCCTGGAGCCTGGGCCTTTGAAGCCACACAGGGCGGTTCCCCATCCTGAGTCTCGAGAGTGGTTTTGGCGGAAATGGTGGTTGGAAGGCATTTGGCAAAGGGCGTCGTGGATGGGAATGTGACTCCTCTTTCTGAACTGGCTTCCAGTTCACCATCTTCTCTCAGATGGCTCCACCCACCTCCGTCTACCTTGTACCCTTTCTGCCCACAAGTGGGTGCTTCTCAGGCTCTTAGGTGTTGGGCTCAGAACAAACCCCTCCTACAACCTTGTGTTGAGCTCACCTGCCACAAAGTCCTGGACCAACCCCTCAGCTTCCCTGGCTACAGTGTCTTCTTATGTAAACCAGGAAGGTAAGGCTACACGCACTTCCCGGGCCCAGAGTAGGAGCTGGGGTCCGGAGCTGGTGCCTATCTGCTCAGAGGCTCCTCTCTGTCCTTGGCAGGTAGGATCTGCTGGCACAGTCCTGTCTGCCTTCTGTACAACTGGGAGCCTGCCTTTTGGCCGGTGGTCCCAAGAGAGTGGAGAACAGGTGGCTTGCCTTCTGTGGGGAGAGTCACGGTGGCTCTGAGGATTGGGTAGGTGTGGCTGCCCTCCAATGAGTCAGTCTAGTACTTTCATCAGGGAAGTTAGAGGAACTTTCAAAGACAGATTTTTAGAAATAGAAGAATCTTAGAGATCAGCATTTCTGATATCATTTTTAGAATTTGGGCTAGAAGCGAGCTTTCTTGACTTTTGCATTAAATCACTTTCTTTTATTCCATGCAGAAGTTTAAATGCCAACTTTGCTACCTGGTGAATAAAATGACCCGACCTATATTTTGCCTAGGGGTTATGTGTCGGGAGGGAGGCACAACTTCAAGATGCCAAGGAGGGTCAGGAGGGAAGGCAGAAAGGGCACCTGGTGGGGTGCGGTGTTCCCGTGGCACTAGGTCTCCTTCCCGTTTCCCACTGAGGGAGCAGCAGCAGGAGGAGTACTCCATCCTGGAGCACAAGAGTTACCTGGTCCATCTGCCCAGCGTAGGTTGAAGACAAAGCTACCAGGGGGCTGCTCGGAAGCCTGGCGGTACCACAGGGGGAAATGGTCCATGGTGAAAATGCTGGCCTCATCGGCAGGTGTCAGGAATTTCCTGCAAGGAGGAAAATTTCTGTAGCTTCTTCAAATCTGGAAACATGACCATCCTTTTTTCATACAAGTTCATCTTGGCTGGGCTGAGAAAAATGATTCCCCCTGCTTTGGCACAGTTGCGGATAGGTAGAGGATATTAGCCCCTCAATTGCTGTTGCCCCAGACCATGTTCCCTAGCCAGTTCTGCCTTTTCCAGGAGCAAAATGATACTGCTCTGATGGCATACTGATAGCTAGAAGAGACCTGGGGCCTGTACTAGGAGGGAATATGTAGACCTCTTGGCCTGCAGGCTCTATCTCTTGGATAGAGCCTCTGTTCTTTGTGCCTGGCTCACTGACAAGTCTGAGCAAGGAAACTGTATAATCAGTTCTATCACTTCGATGATGTGGGACATAAATTGCCCCAAAATGGTTACTTCAAAAGTCTGTGTCTCTTGGGTTTTGACTGTACTGTGACTTTCCCTTTTTTGGAGCAGTTTTACCTGTGAATTATGGTTTTGCTTTCCCTAAAAGCACATCAGTCTACAGAAGGGAGTGTTGGTCCACAGCAGACAGGGCAGCAGGGCAGAGCTGGGGTGGGGGTCGGGCCTAAAAAAGGCTGTGGGTAACTGACAAGGTGGGTCACTGAGACTGGCTTTGGGAGTGACAGGCTCACACATTCCAGAAGCAGAGCTGCCTTGTTACACAGTCCCTGGGCTGCCAGTCACACTGCAGTCCAGGTGAAGGGAGCCCTCTGGGCCTGGCAGTGCATCTGTGGCTATTACAGTGACGGCAGTCACAGGAGACAAAAAAGTACTCTCCCACCTGAGGAAGGCGAGTCTGTAGGGGGATCTCCCTCTTCCATCTTTAGGAACCCTTTAGAGGGACTGGGAGTCAGCGAGACAGCCTTTCCTGTCTTTCCACTGCTCGCCGTCAGAGTAGGGGAGTGGGGAAGAGAGGAAGTAAGAGGCGATAGAGGAACAACTTGCTTTGTTCTCTTACAAAGCCTTGGGTTTGCTTAGCAAGTGTGGATTTGTTGCAGAGCCCTGGAAGAAGCTCAGAGATGGTGCTTTTGGCTTGGTGTGCGTGGATTTAGCCGTAGGAGCAGCAAGGGAGGAGGGGTACGGATGGGGGGTAAAGTCTGCCCGCCAGTTCCCTCTGCTGTTCTGCAGGGTCTGGTGGCCCTTCCCCGTCTCCTGGCTTGCAGGTCAGCAGATCCTCTGCCCCTGCCTGGGTCTCCCACCCTCTACCTGGAAGGCACCCGGCATGGGGCTGAAGCTGAAAGCTCACAGGCAGGATTCTGCCGCATCTGGCTTTTGCTTATAGCAGGGTTTCCTAACCTTGGTGCTAGGGGAAACGGGAGCCTGGCAGTTGTTGTTGGGGTTGTCCCACGCATTGTAGGACATTTAGCAGCACCCTTGGCACCTACCCACTAGATGCCAGTAGCAACTTCCCCATTTCCCCCAGCTCTAACAGCTAAGAAAGTTTCCAGACATCGCCCAGTGTTCCCTGGAGGACGCAAAGTTGCCTCCAGTTGAGAACTGCTGGCTTTGGATCCTAGGCTTCCATAACCATGGCCAGGGCTGGACCTGAATCTTGTGATTAGAGTACAAATCACAACTCCACCCGAGCTGGGCAGTGAGCTGTCCATAATCGACCGCCATGGACAGGGGCCCAGAGCAGGCCCTCTCTGCACGTTAGGGAAAGAGTCTGGAAAACGGATGACATAGCCGGACGATTTAGCCTGCCACACACAGACTGTCCTAGAGAGGAAAACCTTTGAGTCTCCCTCTTAGCAGCTCCTCTAAGTGGAATTTCTGATAACCTTCCAAGCTTCCAAGCTTGCTGTCCTCTTTCCTGACCAGACCACTGTCTGTCTCCTCCAAGGGACCTGTCCAAGACATACCCAAGCTAGCGGGAAACAGTTACTTTTCTCATTCTCCCAAATGGTAAACCAACCCTTCTACCTTCCCTAGATTCTGGGGGCCCTGCATGCTGAGGCCAAATCTGTCTGTCCCTGTGCCACAAGAGCACCCTGGAGCTCTGTCCTTTCTTAACCTGCACGGACTGCACTCCCAGAGGTAGCTAGCGGGACTCACCTGTCGGACAACTTCTCGGAGCCCACAAATAAGGTGCTTCGAAGGAGACCAGCCCGGGTGCCCAGGAAGGCCAGCTCTACCCCTTGCTCGGACTCCCTGTGAGGCAGACAAAGTGGGAGCAATGAGCACGTGGATACTGCCACAGGAAGTGCCCACAGGGGGCTGCAGAGACCTTGGAGGAGGCCTGGTGCAGGGGAATTTCCCAGAAGGCTGAGCACAGGGACCCCATCATCAGTCCTCGGCTCCCAGGCAGTACCTCTCCTTAGCTGCCCCCGTTTGGCCCCTGCCTCTCTGCTGTGTCAGATCCAGCTCCTCACGCATCCCCTGGCTTTGGAGGGAGTTGGACCTGGAAGGCAGAGGAACCCAGGGAGGCAGATTTTGTCCTGGGACCTACAAATAGTAACTTCTCACAACCACACATCCAAGGTCCTCACGGGCATTGAGCTCTGGCTGCTAATTTCCTGTGTGACTGGACTGTGAGGACGGGTACCGCAGAGAAGCCCCACTAGACCTCACAGCACCGCCAGTGAGCTTTGAACTAAAAAAATCTATTAGCCAGCTACAGTGGAGCGAAGTGTTTCGGTCTCAATACAGGCGACGCCGGTGGCAGCAGGAGCTGGAGAGGGGATAGCACCAGGGTGGGGGGATATGACTCCTGACTTTGCTAGTATCCTTGTCCCTAGCCTCATTTTTGGGACACTGTTATGCAGTTCCTCTCAGTGCCTCTGTCTGTAGTTTTTTTTGTGAGGGTACAAGGTTGGCAACGCCGCAGCATCACCAAGGGTAGCATTGTTCATCAAGGTTTGACAGTTAGGGAGGAGGTAGCCCCTGGAGTACCACCTGGGATGGGTGAAAATATTTGGTCTCAGGTTAGAAAGTGGAAGAAAGGGTCTGGGAACCAGGCAGGTGGCCCTCAGGGCTGGAGAGAAGGGCTGCTGCAGGGTGCGCGTGGAGCCGAGCTTGCAGTAGGTCCTCCGGGGGTCTCTACACATCCAGCCCAATTCTCCATTGCAAAGGGGAAGGAGCGCTCTGTCTCCTGCTCAGCCTGTGCACAGGGAACAACCCATGCCCATCTCGTGCACCACAGCTTCCCCACCCCCTGAGCTAGATTATTTTAAAGTAAGTCCCAGGTAGGTCATCAGTGAACATTTTAATTTGTATCATTAAAATGTAAAGAATTTTATTATATATAACTTTAAAGAACCCACAATTCCTTAATATCATGCCTCAAAAATTTTTTACAAGTTTGATTGAGTCAAAATCTGACTAAGGTCCACGCATGGCTCAGCTGCGTGAGAACAGCCTTGAATGTCCACAGTTGGGAATGGGGCGCTCTCTGAGGCTGGTCCTCTCGGCAGGGAGAGCTTTAAACAAGTATTTCAGGTAAACAGATCAGGTTTCCTTTTTATTTCTCTAAGAAAAAATTATGACATGAATTCATATTGATATTTTGAATTCATTCTTAGCGTTTATTTAAATTTCTTTGATTTTTTGAAATTTGAACAGTTTTCCTCTTTTCCGGAAAGTCTTTACTCTTAGGATACTAACCTAATTTTATTTACCCTAGCTATTCTAAATAACAATCCACCATCATTTCTGGTAATGTGATTACTGAGTAGTTTAAGATTTTATGTACTATTTACCGTTCTAAATCCTCTTGAAAGAATTCCACTGTATAGAATGAATCATGACTTGATACACAGCTAGATTTATCTGTTTTACTTGCTTTCAATTTTTTGAGATTATTCTTTAAAAACTTAAATTATAATTATATGAAACATTTACAAAGTTCCAAAAAGGAAATAGGAAAATAAGGCATATTCTGAAAAGACTGCTGCTGTATTCACCCCCCATTCCTCACTCTTCCTATCATCGATAAGTAATTTTTATTTGGTTTGTCATTTTATTTAGAAAATATGTATGTGGAGAGTAGAATGTGGTTTTTTTGGTTTTTGGTTTTTTTTTTTTCTGGTACCAGGAATCAAACTCACGACCTTGTGCTTGCCAGGCAGGCGCTGTGCCGCTGAGCTAAACCACCAGCCCCGAGAGTAGAATGTTGATTACCAGAAGCCAATAAGAATAGAGGGGAAGGAAGTTTGTGTAAAAGTTGATCAGCAGTGCTAAGCTACAGCCAGATAGGAGTCAGAAGTGTCACTGTGCATGTAGCATGACTAGCAATAATAATGTTCTATACATTTAAAAATATAGACGAGCTGGAATGTTTTTACTATAAGGAAATGATCCATGTTTGAAGAGATAGATATGCCCAACTAGATTTAAATACTACAGTGTATATGTGCTTTGAAACATTACATGGTTCTCCATCCATCTGGTATACTTTTATATATCTGCTAAAAATAAATTTAAATTTAAAAAGAAAGTAAAGAAACGAAAAGGTATGTGCACTTGTACATCTTATGTATATAGTATGTGTAAATAGTTATGAAAATATATTTATAGTTCTTTTTAGATAAACAGTGAAAGTATGATACACACTTTATTGCTGGAGATAATTTCATGGCAGTATATTCAAATATTTCTCATTTTTTATAGCTGCATGGTATTCTACTATGTAGATCTACCAGTTTGTTTAACTAGGCTCCTACTGGTAAAAATGTGGATTTTGCCAATCTTTTACTATAACAAGTGGAGTTTTAATGAATAGCTCACATGTACATCTTTTCATATTTTTGCCTGTGCCTTTTCAGACAGATTCCTGTCTCTTTGAGATTGCTGGGTTAAAGTGTAAATTATTTAAATTTGCTGATTATCTCATCAACATTACCTGCTAACAAACCTAGATGGTTATCCACGGAGTAAGTGAGAAGTACAATTTTGGTACAGTCTTAATATGTATAGCTACAGGGGCTGGGGATTTGGCTCAGCAGCAAAAGTGCCTGCCCGGCAAGCGCAAGGTCATGAGTTCGATTCCTGGTACCAGAAGAAAAACAAAAACAAAACAAAACAAAAAACCCAATATGTATAGCTACAGACAAAGTTGTAGGAAATTAACAATGGTTGTTGTATTATGTATTATGCTATTTTGTAAGTGGATGTCTGTTTGTTAATATGTTTTCCTTCTTTTATTTTTAAAATAAATTAAAAAAATATGTATAGCTAGGTTGAATATTTGTCAGATATTTAAGACCTCTTTGCATTTTTTTCTAAGAACTATCCTTATCTCAGGAGCACTTTTCTTATACAGTAACTGGTCCTTCACTTCTCTATTTTTGAAGTTCTTTATTTCTCATGAATATGTAGTGTAGAGATAATAACTATTTCATAATTGTAAAACTTTTCCAGTTCGTCATTTCTCTTTTTACCTTGCTCATGTTTTCATTTTTGCCATATAAACATTTTTATGTTGTTAAATTTATCCATCATTCCTTTATTGCTTCTGAATTTTGAGTCACTGTTGGGAAAGGTTTCCCCACTGCTAGATTTTGGAGCAACTGGCTCATATTTTCTCCTAGTACTTATATGATTTCATTTTTTTTTTCACATTTAAATCTGAGTCACTTGGACTTTACCCAGGTGCACGGTGTGAGAAAAGAACACAATTATATCATTCTCCATATGGCTCCTGAGCCAGTTATTAAAAAGTCCCTCTTTCCAGCATGGAATCAACACAATGCTCTGTGATAGACTAAGTCTTCCACAGCATGTAGATGAAGTTCTGAACTTTATCCTCCGTCCCCTGTATATGCCTGTCGTTTCATGTGCCTAGACTACATCCCATAAATTTTAATGGATTTGGGATATGCCTTAATATCCTGGGGGCTGTCCTCCCTTCATTGCTTTTCTGCTCCACAGATTTTTGACCATTTTTGCTTGTTCTTCCAAATGACCTTTATAATCAGTTCATCTGGATGCAGAAAAATATTGATGGCATTACCACTGGGACTGCATTAAATGTGTAAATCAACTCAGGGAGGATTAATATCTTTATGATATTGTGTCCTCCTATTTAAAAAACACCGTATGTCTTTCCATGTGTTCAATTCTACTTTTGTGTCTTAAAGGAATGTTTCATAATTTTCTTTATATAGGTTTTGGACATTTCTTTATATGCTTTATATATTTTTACAGTCTTCTAACATTATGTTTTATGCCTTGCTGTTTTAAATAAGCTTTTTTTATTTAAATATTCTCTTGTTTTTGAAAGTCGATATTATAGCCTACTACTTTACTAAATTCTCTTATGGATACGGTAGTTTTCCTATTAATTCATTTGAAGTTCTCAACTACACAGTCATGCCATCTTTATGTACTTATTTATTTTCACGGCACTGCAGATGGAACCAGGGCCTCACACATGCTACATAAGCGCTCAAGCCCTGAGTTACAACTCAGCCCAAACCATATCATTTTTAAATAGAGATAACTTTATTCTTCCTTTCCAGTGTGCCTTGACTTTGAGTGCTGTCACGTGTCTAAGTGCGCTAATACTCCTGACTTGTCCCGTAAGAGTGGGGAAGCAGCACGCTTGCTTGGTCATATCTTCAGTGGGAGAGCCTCAAGCTCTGTTCAGATGTTAGTCTTCAGGTTTAGGTCAATTTTATCAAGATTTGTTTTTTTTTAATGAATGGATATTTGTTCAAATGCATTTTCTGCATCTATAGAGATGACTGTAAGACTTTTCTCTTTAGCTTTATGTTATTTTATATTAAGTACCCAGGTCGTCTTCTCTAACGCACACCCTGGTTACGAACATTTGTTTCTCTACATTTTGCACCACTAAAAAGCATCGATGGCTCATCTCTGAACATGGAAAGAGCACACTGGTGCCCTTCCCCTCCAACCTAGTGATCAGACCCCTGCAGGGGAGGTGCAGGGGCTCAGGTCTGAGCCCTGTGTCCCAGCTTGGCCGTGTGTGAGGCACATGACCTTGAGCAGGTTGCTTGGTCTTGCTATGCCTCAGCTTCTTTATTGGTGAAAGAGGTAATGACAGCACCCACATCATACAGTTAACAAGCATTAAGTACATGGAACAGTGCCTGGCCCACTATATTCTTTTTCTTTCTTTATTCAGGGTTTTATTTTGTAAGGGCCTTACATTGCACAGTTCACCATTGTACTAAAAAGTTACACAGTGCAGTGTCCTTTCCACGCCTAGGCCAGTTATCCATTTGCGTGCATGTGTGTGTGTGTGTGTGTGTGTCTTTTTTGAGGCAAGGTCTCACTATGCAGTTCAGGCTGGCCTTGAGCTCACTTTGTAGCCCAGGCTGGTCTTGAACTCACAACAATCCTCCTGCCTCAGCCTCCCAAATGCTGGGATTACAGGTGTGCACCACCATGCCTGGCTTAGTTACCCAATGTTTTAGCCAAGAAAAACCAACGAGAACCTGTCCCGAACAGCTTCTCACAGATGCTGCCTATGTGGATAACATGCACACATGAACATATATACTGTGTTCTCTCCCTTCCTGTGCAGAAGTGGTGGTATAGTATGCATATAGCCTTTCACACCGTGCACCAGGAGATTGTTCCTGTAAGATTCTTTTGGAATATTTATGAGGATATTTATTAGGATATCAGCAATAAGCTAATCTATTGAGTGTTTAGGGGAGGTTTGAGATCTTCCTATGTTGGGCCTTCCTATTCATATTTTACAGCCCACTGTGATCTTAACTTTATCAATATCACACGGTCCCCTAGCCCTCATGCCCATACACACACTCCACACACTCATCCTTCTATCTGGCTTTACAGAGCTCCACTTTCCAGAGGGCTTGGTGTGAAAGTTGTTCCCATCCCCTACCACAGTCTACAAGTTCTTGTCCTCCTCCCCGTTTTCTGAGGCCAGAGGACTGGGTAGTCCCCAGTGCTGCCAGCCAGGTGGTGGAAGGAGTCTTGACTCAGCCAAGGGATGCTGGAGGCCTGAGCAACAAGGTGCTTTTGCTCCTGGAGCCCTCAGCCCTCTTGGTACCTACTCAGAGATGTTGAGAGCCAGCGCAGTCCAGTAAGCTTCCATGGGGGCTGTCACCACTGCATCAAACAGCACCTCCCGCACCAACTCCTCATCACCTGGGGGCAGAAAGGAGACCGAGCCATTTGTTTTCCAGCATTCTCCAGTGAGCTCCCTAGTGGTGTTTGTGAAGAGGAGCTTAAGGACTGAGCTCAGAAAGCCCTCACAGGCCAGGGACTTTACGAGACCATCTGGCCAGAGGCTCGCTTGGGCCTTTAGAGTACAGAGCCTCAGCTGCTTGCCCAGAGCAACTGCTGGGGGGTGGTAGGGACAGAGCGGACAGGCAGGTAGAGGCCCTTAACGCTGCTTGGTGGACAGAGACTCCCAAGGATGTCAGGGTGTCAGTCCCTGACATGGGACCACCTAGGTCATCACAGTCCCTAGTGAGCAGTGTCCAGTTTGGACCTGAGGTGCGGCTGGCTGGGCCTTTTCCTCTGAGATTACCCCTGTTCTGCCTCAGCCACTCAGGTGTTCCAGGGAAGGGCCGCGTACAGCCTCCTCTCCTACCACCTGACCTCCTCCTCCTTGCAAAGCTGTAGGGCTCTGGAGGACCAGTTACTCCCCACCTTGGGCGGCACTCACACTCGAGGTCTGGATCCTCCCCTGTTAGGAAGCGGACCATGGCCTCCAGCTGGCTGAGCTTCCGGTGGTCGGGGTCAATATCCGTGATGCAGTAGATCCTGGAAACCAGGAGAGTCCATATTACTTCAAAAACCCACCCTTCTCCCTCCCACCCTCTAGTCCTGCTTACCAGTCACTGGCCAGGGTCAGATCTGGGTGAAGCAAGTCGTGCAGACCTGGAACCAGAGTGCACACTTAGGACAACGTCCCTGCCTGGAGTGTGCCCCCAGGGGCTCAGGGACAGCTGCCCACGAAGATGCTCTTTTTTTTTCTTTTTGAGACAGGGTCTCGCTATGCAGTTCAGGCTGGCCTTGAGCTCACGTTGTAGCCCAGGCTGGCCTCGAACTCACAACGACCCTCCTGCCTCAGCCTCCGGAGTGCTGGGATTACAGGCGTGCACCACCACACCCGGCATGGAAGATTCTCTAAAACGGCTGGGTTCTGGTCTTTCTCATTCATAGCCAGAGGGGGAGCTCAACTGACAGGACGTTTCCAGGTTTGCACAGAGGGCCTGTGCCCAAGTCCCAGGTGCTCCTCAGGGATGGGATGAGCCCTACATCCGCAGTGAGCTACCAGTCGGCCAGAGGTCGTCACCTTTTCCTTCCTTCAACTGTCATGTCGTTCCCTGCTTTCCAGGTTAAAGTCTAGTCATTCCGGACAAGTCCGGAAGTGGCTATGTTTAATTCCCTGAGCATCTTCCTCCAAGGAACTGGGACTTTGAAGCCAGTGACTGTGCCTTCATTGGCTCCCTTGGGCCCCAGTGAGAGATGAGGCGAGAGGTGGGCCACGTGTGCCCCCTGAACTCTCTGTGGCCCCTGCCTGGCTCAGGGCCTGGGCTGATTGCGCTCAGCGCTTGATTGTCCACTGCATGAACAGCTGCTATACTGGCTCCTGCTCAGCACTCAAACATATACAGGTGCTTCAGCTTTATTGAATTTGTAGGACAAGATGATGGAAAGGCCAGCGGGCTTCTTGGAGCCCTTTGAAGGAAGGCTGGAATGACATGGACACAAATAGCTACAAAGAGGCCCCGCTGACTGCATGACTTCAAGCTCCCTGAGCAGAAGTGGGTCTGTTCCCTGGGGTGATGTCACATGGGAATATCTGGGTGGAGGAAGGCAGGTGTGGGAGGAATGAGACACAGTGAAGGCCTGGGGCTGTGACGGCTCCGCTCGGGGGGCTGCAGAAGGTAGAGGAGGGGACTCTGGCCTCACGGCCAATCTCTCTGGAAGGGCAATGCGGGGGGCGCCAGGTGAGTGTAGGCAGTCTACCTGAGGCAGTTCTCTGACAAGTGTCACCTGCACTGGGACCTGATGGTGGGTCGGAGTGAGCTGGGAGAGGAGGTGAGGGCGGAGAGGAGGTGGGGGCGGAGAGGAGTGCATTTCAGGGCAAGCACAGCACCCAGAAAGACCTTGGTGGTCAGTGCAGCAGGGTGTGAGAATCTCAGAAAGTCGTTAGCTGTGACATGGTCAGCTTCGGCATTTCTAGAAAGATCGCTGGGGCCGATGTTCAGAGAAAGAAAGGCAGAGAGCCTAGTGGGAGGCTGTGCTGGTTGTCCAGGGGAAGAGGTGAGGATGGCTAGGATGGCAGAGTGATGGAGCAAAGGGATGCTTTAAAGGGACAGTGGAGGAGGAATGGGCAGAATGTGAGTATTAAACAACCGTGGCCACATCGTCAAAGGGCTTCCGGAGACACTCTGACTCCTGGCTGCATGGCTTGTTCTGTCATGGTGCCCAGGTAGCTTGTGTTGGGTGGGAACAGGGAGGGTGGGGCCCCCTCTGCTACCCAACCCCACTCCCATTACTCTTCCCTCAGGTTCACCCCTGTGAGCTCCCTGTTACGGATGATTTGTATCCCCCAAAAGATATGCAGCAGTCCTAACACCTGGTACCCGTGAATTTGAGCTTCTTTGGAAATAGGGTGTTGGCCGCTGTATTCAGGTTAAGATGAGGTGATGAGGGTGGGCCCAGGTCCCGTATGTCGGGTGTCCTCATGAGAGGGAAAAGGGGGCATAGGCGGAGACACCTGAGGGGAGCAGGCCCTGCAGCAATGGAGGCGGAGAAGGCCTGCGGCACCCAAAAGCTGAGGAAGGCTGAGGCTGCCAGAGGTAGGAAGAGGCACCGGAAAGCCCTCCCCTAGGGAACCCAGCCTCCAGAACTGGGAGAGAATACACTTCTGTGCTTTAAGCCATGTACTTTGTGGTTCTTTGTTGCGGAAGCCTGTAGGAATAGACCAGTTCCCTCACTCTTTTCAAATTTTACTTTGAGACCAGTTGCCCGGCCTGGCCTGGAACTGGCCGCGACCCTCCTGCCACAGCCTTCGGAATAGCTGGAGCTGCAGGTGTGTCCGCCACTCCCTGCTGGATCCCTCACTCTCCCACCTCCTTTCTACCCTCCTCGGAGTCTTGTGATGGAAAATGTAGCTTTGCAGAGAAACTCACTCTCGGGACAGCCCTTCTTTCTGGTTTAGCAAGGCCTCCTGGGATCTGACAGCACAAGGCTGGCAATTCTCTGGCTTTGTTGATGTGACGACTGACTCCTGGCAGTCGCAGGGACACACAGTGCCCTGCCTTTCCAGGGGCAGTGTCTCCAGGCTGCGTGCATGTAAGCCTGGCACTGTGAGATGGTCAAACTGGCCCCACCTAGCATGCTGGGAAAATCCCATCAGCACTTGGCCCAACTTACCTTCTTCCACAGACGTGTTTCCCAGGAGAATGCGCTCCCCATGGCCCCTGGACAGCACCACTCCCAAGCTGGAAAGAGAGGGGAAGGCATCTCACAGTCCTGGAACACCACTAGCTTGTGATCAGCCCTCCTTCCTGGGAAGGGCCCTGGGAATGCCACACCAAGGGCTCTTCCCACCCTTTTAAACAAGGCTCATCCTGCATGTCACAAGAGCCCCTGACAGGAAGAGAAGTCTGTGCTGCGTGCAGGGCAGTCCTTTCCCACTGGCTGAGTCCTGCCAGCCTGCCTCTCCTGGTGGAGCATCAGGTCTGAATCCCTGGAGCTTTAGAAGCTGTTACGTCTGGGCTCCACCCCAGGAATCTGGAACCACTGAGTTTGCTTGGGAGCAAAGTATTGGTAATTTTACAAAAGTCCCTGTGCAGTCAAATGAACAGTTAGGCCAAGGAGACAGGGCTTTCCTGAGAAACAAGGTAACTCCGAAGCAAGGACCATTTGTTCCCCAATTTGTGCAAAGCTTAGAGTCAAATATTTGTACAGTTGAAGAGAACTCAAATTTGTTCCAATTTGACCCCTTCATCTTATAAGGCACTGCTCTGAGACCTTTAAGTAGATCGTGTCATTTCATTCTTGCAGCACTGCCAAGAAACAGCTACCATTATTACCCCCCCCATTGTTTTTTTTTTCCCGGTACTGGAAATCGAACTCACGACCTTGCGCTTGCCAGGCAGGTGCTGTGCCGCTGAGCTAAATCCCCAGCCCCTAACCCCCCCCCCCATTTTATAGAGGAAGAATCTGAAGCACAGAGAGATTAAATAATTTAAGGTCCCACAGACCGTAGTTGGTGGCCTTGGGATTCAAACCAGGAGCTTGGCTACGGAACCAGCATACTTGGCTATAAAGCAGGTCTAGACTTTTCTGAAAGCTCAGCTGTTTTTTTTTTTTTGCAACAAAATTGCCAATATGAGAAAATCCATCCCTCAAAGATGAAAGTTGCACCCTGGGTCCTCGGCATTCATGCTCCACCTACCCTCTTCCCTGCTAATGAGGCAAGGGGTCCCTCACCTGAAAGGTGTGTCACTGATGTCCGTGAAGAAGTAGTCATTGGTCAGGAAAAGGACTCGCTTCTGAGAGAGCAGAAAAGCGTGCTTGGTGGGGAGAAGAACAGCCACCCGCATCTCACCCTCCTCACCCAGCACTCGTGTCAACACCTCTGTACGTCTCCCTTGCTTTCCACCCCCTCTGGCCACCCCACCATGCTCCTTTATTGACATCCAGGATCATTTCCGGTCCAGAAAATTTGTGGCCTGGTGCAAGTGGTGTTGTCTGGTTAATGACTAAGGTCTGGACCTGCCCTGTCATCATGGTGGTCCTATGACGTGGCCACTGAGTGTGTGCAATGTGTAGCTGGTAAACTGAATATTCAAAATTTAGTTTATTTTGATTTATATGAATTTAAATGCTAGCCAGTGTGGCTGGTGGCTACAATATTTGGTGGCTCCAGGTTTCCCATGGTGTCATTAGGGCTAAAAGCTTTTAGAACATATACAAACAGTCCACCTAACCTTTCCTCTCTAGAGTCGAGTCCAGCGAGAATGACACTGGCCTCTGCATAGCACCCCCTGCCCCAGCTGCATCACCCTTTTCCTTGTTCTTGGATGTCCTCCCAAAGCGGCCATCTTTGCAGTTTAATTTGTAGAATCAGGGTGTCAGGAGGTGTATATAGTAGCCAAGGGCACTGGCTGGGTCAGGCACATCTGGCTTTAAGCCCAGCATAGCCACTCACAAGTTGGGTGCTGTAGGGCAAGTTATCTCTCCAAGGATCAGTGTTCTCATTTGTAAGCCAGAGTGAAGAGGCATGTCTTACACACCAAGTTGCGGTGGGGTTGTGTTCTGGGCTCTGAAGCTCAGTGAATTGTACTGTCTCAGGACACAAGATCATGTCGTTATGAAAGCCACAGCCTGTAGTTGACGCAGGACCTACACTATTTTTCTACTTCTGCCTGACTTTTCTTTACTTTGGAAATTAGAGCGAAACATTGGAGGGGGCCAAGAGGAAGAGAGATGCCAAGAACAGTTTGCTTTCTACAGGGAAAGGGCTTTAGAACAAACCAGATGCCTGGATTTTCAGCTCTGTCCTCAGTGTCCAGCCATGCCCTGTGCCCCCTCTATCTGTCAGCTCCCTGAGGTCCCCTTATCACAGTAGCTGAGAGGATGTCTCCGGAGGTGTGCGGAGGGTGGGAGCCAGCATGGGTGATGACTTGGGAGCCCTGGGAGCCAAGGTGGGCTTGTTTGAGTATCAGAGTTAGAGATCATCTTTTCACTTTTTTCCTTCTTTTTTTAAATTGAAAAAACTGTGAATCACATAGATCTTAACTACATCATGCAATTAGTTTTGATTAGTTTGTATATAGTCATGACATTACCTCTCCAGTTGTTATGGTTTGTGCTTGGATGTCCTCCCAAAGCCTCATGCGGTCATGGGGACCAGGCTTTTCAAAGGTGAGCTTTTTGGAGGGGACCGAATTTAGAGTTCATGACTGATTCTAGGTCCAATGCTGGGATTAAGGGTGCGAGTGCTGCACCTGCCCTAGGGTGGGTAGCCTGCATACAATATACAGGAGGAAGAAGGCTTGCTCTCCCCTCCTTTCTTGTTGCTTGTGGTGTCTTCCACTACCATGAATGGTTATTCCTCTGCTATGCCACCCTGCCTTAGAGCCAGCTGATTATGGACTGAAACCTCTACAAACTATGAGCTGAATAAACCTCTCCTTGTTTAACTTTGAGTGTCAGGTATTTTGTCTCAGCAATGAGAGAAAAGTAACCAAGACACCAGTCAAGGTATAGGATGCTCACATTCTCTGCAATCTCTCTGCCTGGCCTTTAAGTTCACCCATGTATTGCCTTCTACAGCAAACCCTTGCTCTGAATTCTGTCCTCAC